CCCACTAACATTCAAAAATTTGCCGATGTTGGCTGTGTGTTGGCTTTTTCGTGTTCGTTATAATACACACAACCAGCCGGCCGTGTATTGTTATTATTAATTGATAGATTAATTAACGGTCACTGATTTAAAAAAAAAACTGAATTGGTGTAATCGTTTTGGCTAAATTTCACACATTTTAGGGTCTAAAATTACCTTCATAACAATTTTAGAATAAGAGCAATAGGGCAGTGAACAAGTGAGCAAAGAGAACTTAGATAATAATGAGACAAGAAGTTAGTAGGCTGTTTAAAATAGTTAAGGTTATCTTGTGGGCCGGGGTCTTAGGCAAATATTGTTTCAAGTTTCAATTCTTTATTTTTCCACATTTCACACACAATATAGACGAACATTTAAGTACAAATATGCTGACTTTTACATCAGGAAATACCAATCGTCATCTCATATTTTTTTTAAATCCTTGTATCGCCATAGTTCATGTATTTACTTTCAGTATTCAAAAGCGATTTACATTCATATTTTTCTGTTTTGCTACGTAAGAGGGCCCCAATGAATATGTTAACATCCAGGAAATTCCTTTTGAATTTTAGTTTTACTTTTCATCTATACTGCATCTTCATCTAAGTAATTCTACACGTGCCTTCATTCTGCATAGCTAATCTCCTTCTACAGTACTATCACCCTCAGGGAGATACTTTTCACCCAAATAAAGGAAGTTCCCCTTATCGTCGCGAGCGTTGGTAATAACCAGGACTGCCATAATCATACTCTAGAGAATGTTGTATCGTAATTCATTGACAATCCCAGTAGAAAGACCTCACTCAGTATTTTACACTGTAATGCATCGAGCAATCTTTAACTTTTAAATAGAACATATTGCTTAAAACTCGCTTGTAATCGGTCTCGCCATTTTTGCATAACTAACTCGACACTATGAAATTGTGAGTGGTGAATAAGATGTGAACTTGACTAATCAAATTATTTTCCTCCTTCGTCTTTGTTTTTCTTCAAAAAAAATGCCTTTTTCCTCTTTCCAATTATGCTGACTTTTATATCAGAAATACCATTCGCAGTCTCATATTTGTTGTAATCTTTATGTTTATGTATTTACTTTCAGTATTCAAAGGCGATTTATACTCATATTTCACTGTTTTGCTACGTAAGTGGACAGTAATGAAAATGTTAACATCCAGGAAATACCTTTTTTGAATTTTAGTTAGGCCTTTTCACTTTTCATCTTCATTTCATCTTCATCTATGTACTTCTACACGTGCCTTCATTCTACACAGCTAATCTCCTTCTGCAATACTATCACCCTCAGTGAGATACTTTTCACCAAAATAAAAGGAAGTTCCCTCATCGTCACGAGCGTTGGTAATAATCAGGATTGCCAAAATCATACTCTAGAAAATGTTGTATCGGAATTCATTAACAATCCCAGTAGAAAGACCTCACTCAGTATTTTACACTGTAAATAATGTGTAATCTTTAACTTTTAAATAGAACATATTGGTTTAAACTCGCTTGTAATCGACCTCGCCATTTTTGTATAACTAACTCGACACTTTGATATTGTGAGTGGTGAATAAAATGTAAACTTGACTAATCAAATTATTTTCCTCCTCCGTCTTTGCTTTTCTTCAAAAAATGCCCTTTTCCTCTTTCCAATTATGCTGACTTTTATATCAGGAAATACCATTCGCAGTCTCATATTTTTTGTAATCTTTTTGTTTATGTATTTACTTTCAGTATTCAAAGGCGATTTATTTATCATATTTCACTGTTTTGCTACGTAAGTGGAGAGTAATAAAAATGTTAACATCCAGGAAATACCTTTTTTGAATTTTAGTTAGGCCTTTTCACTTTTCATCTTCATTTCATCTTCATCTATGTACTTCTACACGTGCCTTCATTCTGCACAGCTAATCTCCTTCTGCAATACTATCACCCTCAGTGAGATACTTTTCACCAAAATAAAAGGAAGTTCCCTCATCGTCGCGAGCGTTGGTAATAACCAGGATTGCCAAAATCATACTCTAGAAAATGTTGTATCGAAATTTAGGAAATACATCAGGAAATACCACTCGCCGTCTAATATTTGTTGTAATCCTTATATCGCCATAGTTCATGTATTTACTTTCAGTATTCAAAGGTGATTTTTATTCATATTTTACTGTTTTGCTACGTAAGAGGAGATCAATCACATTAAAGGAATCGAATCAAATTTCATCGGAATCGGAAATATAAAGGGCAACAATAATTATTATCGGTCCAACACAGAAAATATGCTTCATAATGGGTGATTTTAATGTATAAATGTTGCCTTTCCTACAAAACAACACTGATGCAACTCTGATTAATTCATCAGTTTCTCATGTATTACATCCACTAATCAATATGGAATATATAATCAACATGGAATATAATAAATGGAATTATGGGGAAGAAAACTAATCACTCGAGCACTCCAAAATTATTTGAAAATGGCCGTGAACTATTGGACCCTACTGAGGCAGCAAATTTGTTAATTCATACTTTATTAACATTGGCCTAAGCTATCTGCCAAAATTGATAGCGATAACTCACAACGTAACGATTTCTTTTTAACCCACTTGCAAAGAGTATTTTTTTATCGAACCATTCGAAAGAGCTTGATCAATAAAGCCTAGCAACTCCATCCGCTAACGACAAAAATTGTACAAATCCCCTTAAAGGGCCAGTCCACTCCAAAAATAATTTACTTTCAATAGAAGCATACAAATCAGACAAACCAAGCATAACAAGTTTGAGCAAAATCGGATAACAAATAAGGAAGTTTTGAATTTTTAATAACATGAACAACTTTAAAAATCAGGAGATAAATTTGCAACACACTCATGAGTCTGTGACTTCATTGCATTACTATTCACTTATTGTTTCCTTTATATCGATAACTTATCACTGCACTAATATAAAGTAATTTTTTTCCGTAAAATCATGAAAAATGTGGATTTGTATGAACTTTTTAACCAAAAATCAATGATAATGAATATAAAATATTCCTAAAAATAGTATCAATTCTTAAAAGTTCCTAAAAGATTGTGGGAAATGTCATGCACGTAATATGAAACAAATCATATAAACTGGGTAAAGACATGAGGAAATCAAGTTGTGGGGGATAAAAAGGGAACTTAATGGGATAAACATATATAAAGCAATTGATAAATAGTGAGGCAAAGACGTTATAAACTGAGAACCAAGTTTGCAATTTGTGTAGTGATTTTCTATGTTCTATAGTTGTTCATACTTTTAATAAAAATCATAGATTCCATATTAGTTATCCGTTTTTATTCAAATTATTTTGCTCTGTTTCTCTTGTTTTTTCTGCATCTATTAAAAGCAAAGTATGTTTGGATTGGCCTTAGTCTTTAATGCCTATCTGCACTAGTTTAGCCAAGAGGTATTAGACCTTCCTGCATGGTCACTGACAGGTGGTTATCTCATCAAATCAGCTCTTAATCAACATAATAAAAGGGGACCATGAGGGGGGGGGGGTGATGGTCACCGCTTAGCATTGTTTGCTTTATAGAGGCCGCAAGTAGCTATAAGTTGTGTAGTAGGGCTTTAAGAAAATTATTGGCCTGATAGTCCTTCTCTTGGATATATTTTTGATCTATCTCTATCCTCTGGAATGTTTCCTAATTCGCTTAAAATTGCGAAGGTTATTCCTATTTGCAAAAAAGATGACCTTACCTTTAAAATTAAGTATTTACCGTCTAATATCATCAGGGGCGTACGCAGGGGGGGTGTTTTGGGGGTTCAAACCCCCCCTTTGGTATTTTAATGTTTGTAAACCCCCCCCAAAAAAACCTAAAAACCCCCCCCCCCCCTTTGGTTTTTTTTTTTTTTTTTTTTTTTTTAATTAAAAAAAAAAAAAAAAAAAAAAAAAAAATTATACCCACGGCTAACCTAAATAAGGTGACATTACCCCCCCCCCCCATACGTAAAAAAATGTCAAATTTTGAAATTTTGAGACCAAAAAAAAAAAAAAAAAGTGTCCGCTTACCCCCCCCCCCCCCCCCCCCCCCCCCCCCCCCCCCCCCCCCCCCCCCCCCCCCCCCCCTGAGCGACTTTTCTGGCGGCTGAGTCGATGCAATTTTTTTTGGTCTAAAAAAAAAGTGTCCGCTTACCCCCCCCCCCCCCCCCCCCCCCCCCCCCACTGAGCGACTTTTCGGCCGGTGCGATTTTCAAATTTTCGGGAGCAAAATATTTTAAAACCCCCCCTTGAAAAAATCGCCCCTGAATATCATTGTAACCGAGCATTCCAAAAAATCTTGAAACAAATAATAAACAATGTAATATATGCATTTCTGACTAAATGCGACCTAATAAATGGAAATCAATAGGGCTTTAGAAAAAAATTACTCCACCGATCTTGCCCTGCCCCAATTATATGATAATATTAAGAATACTTTATGTAATGGTGAACATGTGTACTTATGGACCTTAGTTAGACCTTTAATACTTAAGATTAAAGAATTTTAATACACACGTTACAAACATTATGGTATCAAAGACAACACACTCCCCTGGTTCAAAGACTACTTATCTAATAGAAAACAATTCGAATGACACAACTCTACATCCTAATACTATCAAACATAATATGTGCCACACCCCTAAAGATCCATCCTAGACCAACTTCTATTTCTCATTAATACATCAATAATACTTCAAACTTCTCCACTATCTGACATATATACGCTAATCATACTACTCTATTTTGTTTATTCCGAGCTTGATGCACCGGTAAATTAAATTAACATTAGGAACAATTTCACATGCAGGAATAAAATTGATGGAATAGCTTAATCTAAAGAAACAAGTTCAACATTTCTCCGAGTTATCATTAACGGAAACCTAACTTGGAAACAATACATAACAAGATATCGATACCACCATATCACGAGACGTAGGTATTTCATTCAAACTTAAGAACATTAAACAAAAATGTCTAATAGCAACGAACCGATTTCTAGAATCAAAAAAAGGAAAAAGAAATACAAATTATGAAAAGTAAAAGAGCTCCCCAAAAGCATCGACAAATTTATCTGCCCATGCACGAGATTAAAATAACCCAGTAGCTATGTCTTCACTCTTCATTCCACTCGCCTTTTTGAAGTTTATTGCCAAGACTAAGCACTGTAGAGAAAGAGAAAGAGAGACGAAGAAAAAATGACCAGTTATAATTGAGTAGGGCGTATCATAAAGATATAACACCTGCATACACTTTCAAAATTCCACATGGTACACAGTTTCATTTCAGAAGAAACAATTAATAGCTTTCATGACATTGCTTATCTTAAATTAAATTTCTTAAATTTGAAGAAAAAAAGGAAAATGAATTACAGAGCGGCCAAGTGCAGAATGGAGAAGAAAAAAACTTTTATTAGTAAAGATTTTATGTTAAAAATACTATGTCCTTTTTGCAGCCAACATCAAATTCTGTAGAACTTTGCAGAAATTATGAATTCCTCATGTATGCCCTATCTGTAAAATGTAAACGTTAGCAGTGTCCTAATATTCAAATTATGCAAGGAAACCTGTTTACTCGCTAGACTTCACTGTCAGACACTATTGAGTGACTGACTGGCTTTTTTCTTCCTTGGTAATAACATTACATAAAATGATCTGTAAAGGGTACATGAGCATTTGTCTACATCAATAACCCACTTCTTGTAATGGCCAAAATTAAACTGATTGAATCTTTGCGCAGCATAAAACATACGACCATGCGGTACAATGGTCTGAAAATCAGAATATTACTTACTGGATCTATAGCTCTTAAGTAGATTCGACAAATAATAGTCGTTATTTTCCCACTTAAAGATATGTTCAAGCCCCCTTTTTTATAGGGAATTTCTAAATTAGTATTATCATTCAAATGCCGTTGGAATTTAATCTTTTCATTTTCTGGGGCCTGCAAATGGGGACAAAGTACCTTTAAGGAATAGTCGATTCTTTTCAGCTTTTATATCAAGTTTAATGAGATTTAGGAGTTCCGGTAAAGATGAAGATTAATGTTTGAGCTTCCTAATCCTCTTTATTTCAACCTAGAACAATACCCTCGTAGAAGAAATGTGCCCCCGTAATCAGCAGATGACTAGTAATAGCTAAGGTGTTCGACCCAAACAGTTATGACGAATGTGCGTGTAGTCCCGTATACCCATTTCCGTGTTAGATGTAGTGATAAGCGCATCCTTATTAACGTTATCATTATCATTATTTATTAGTACATGTATTATCATTATTTGTTTTATTATTTTTATTATTGTTATTATTATCATTATTATTGTTATTCTTATAATTAATATTGTCATTACTATAACTATCATCAAATAATTATATTTAATCAACCTTTCACAACGCCACTGCTTGACACCAGTTCTCAGCTGTATGTCTAAAAGAACTTACTGGACGTAGGTAGGGTTTTCATGAACTTCAGCCTGGTCTGTTGAAGGGTTTACCTTCCTAATACAAGAAAAAAAGTAAGAGCGATATTAGGAGTTTGAGGATGAAAGGAAAGGTTATCATAATAATGAAAATGAAGGAAACAAACAAACGGGATAATAGTAAATAATTATGTGATGGAGTTGGGTGAAGCTCGCGATAATTACAAGACAATTTTTCTGGGTGACCATGTGTATCCCTTGCGTTAATTTCCTACGAGTTTCTAGCCTTAACACGGTACCCAACAAACTAAACTTAACGCTAATCCGAAACCAAACCTACAAGCCAATTACAACCCTAACCCCTACCCTCTACTTTAAGGAAAATAATATTCTGGTTTGACAAAGAGCTTAAAACACTTACGATGTCTTTATGCCCTTTACAGGTCTCAGGAAACTACAATGAATGTCCATCGTTACGGACACTAATCTATTTACTGGATGGAGGGTAGCAATGTGGATTAATTTCTTGCTATATAGGACGTTATATACCTCACTTAAGTAATCCAGCCATCTGATTGGTCGAAATTGCATTCATAAACTTCAACTGTTCTTGTAAAATTCCCGGTAACCATGCATAAAACATTTAATATTTTTAATAACCATGGTTATTAAAAAAATAGGTCAGCCTCCATGGTTACCCCATAGGTTTACATGTTAAAAAATGGTTTGAGCGATCGAGGATACCGTATGTGTGCGAAGGATTGGTCGGTAATTTCAATACAATTGAATCTCGATCGATCTTACCGACAATTTTATCTTGCATTGTTGACATGAAGACGAAAATAAACTTCCAAAACAAAAAAAACAACATCTGCCGATAGATCTTGATCTAAGTTCGTGCCAATATGCATTGCAAAAGTAAAAGAAGGGTCCGTTTAATGGAGCTTTTGCGAAGCATTCATCACGCCGAAGCCGGTTTCAATCCATTTTAATGTATATATTGTACAAAACTGCCAAGCACGTGAACAGCGCGCGATGGACGAGTGGTGTAAGGCGTTGGTGTAAGATTCATCACTCATTGTACGCAAGGGTTCGACTCTCACCTTCGCCAAAAAAAAAAAAGTATTTTTATTTTTTATTTTTTAGTCTATTTTTTTTCGGCATATAAAAGTATTAATGACTGCTTTAATATTCGAGAAATAGTTGTTTTTATACGCTCTCGGGAAGGTTACAATTGGGCTATTCCCCTCGGCACGCCTCGGGTAATAGCACAATTCTAACCTTCCCTTGAGCTTATAAAAACAACTATTTCTCTCAAAGCAGTCATTAATACTATATTAGTGCCTGGCTATGATTCGGCCCCTCAACCCTTGGATTGAGAGAGATGACAAGTTAATGAACCACTATACCATGACACCTCCACATATCGGAGCACCCTCTTTAAAAGGCCCTGTACAAGGACACATAAATGTAGGTATAGCTGAAATCCCATGATGGCAAAGACTTCTTGAAAGTCAACCTAAGGCATTGTCAATAGCTCTGTCTATCAACAATTGAAACGTGCGAATATGTTTTGTAGGTGTCTTTGGCGCCAACAAAATAAATGCAGCATACCTCGGTGGTGGACGTTTCTTCAGTCCGCAGATCAGAACGACGACAAGCACGATCAAAACGATCAGAACGATCAGAAGTACCGATCCCCCATATATTCCGATGATCGCAAGCGTCGAAAGAACTGTAGAGAAAGAGGATTGTTTGTTTCATTCTTGACATAAAAACTTCGTACATGGATACAGTGCGACTAAGCAAGACGAACTTAAGAAGTACTGGTATTTGTATTTTATGTAGCCTTCCTAAGCCTAGTTGGCAACTAAAATACTCCCTGTTAGCTAGATAAAGAAGTATTTGTCAAACCTCACTAGGTTTTACGTTACAACTAGGTCCTAGGTCATGAAGCCTACTTGGTAACTAAAAGGCCCCCATGTTGAAGAATTCGATGAGAGGCTTCATTCTGATATCATATGCACTTTGACATCCCTCATTTGACTTTAATTACATTTATGTAGGAACATTTGTGGGGGATTGCTTGAGTTTTCCAGCACGCGTCTGTGTGCATGTATTCTTCAGAAGGATGTTATCATTTACCTGACAATGGAGCTTGACTCGAAGGTTCCTGAAATTTAAGAGAAACGAATATCATATATTTCATTTACTTCATCTTATTTATACAGTCCAAGAAAATCATTGCGATCATCATGGCATACGTGGATATTATTAAAATTACCTATTTTTATGTTTACAAATTGTTCTCAATGGAGGAGATCATGTACTGATTATATCGGTAATCGTTCTGTATTGTTTTACTTTAGCTTGATGTTTAATTTGATATGTCAAAACATATAGTTTTTATTTGACAATTAAAACGTGAATAATATATTTGCATTATTTCATCACTCTATTCGGATGAGAATGATACACTGTACAAAGATAAGAAGATTGATGACTCACTATTGTTGCCTCAGTTGTCCTATCTGAAATACCTGTGAATGGGATAACATTATATAAAATGAGATATAATGAGAACAAATTATAATATTTCAGTATTCGTTCCATGATTACACATTTCTCTATTCTAGGGATTTGACCAGGCCCATATTCATAAATCCCCTATCAGCCAAGTTGGCAACTGAAATGCTCTCCGTCAGCTAATGCAAGAAGTTTTTATAACCTTACTACGTTCTAGTTTGCAACTAGGTCCTAGGTCATTAAAGCCTACTTGGCAACTTACTGGCTTCCATGTTAAAGATTTCGATGGGAGGTCTCAATCTGATATAAAATGCACTTTACTCCATGATTTTACTCTAATTATACAAACATGCAGGTTGGTATTTGAGGGAGTGTGTGTTTGTGTGAGCCCGCAAGCTTCTGTGTGCATGTATTATAAAGAAGAATATAATTTTTTACCTGATGTTGGGGCTTGACTAGTAGGTCCCTGAAATTCAAGAGAAACGAGTATTACAGATATTTCATTTACTAAATCAAGTTTCTATAGTCCAATAATGTCATTTAGATTCTTAAGATTCTTATAGTATTCATGAAAATCATTAAAAGTTTGATTTTTACGAATTATTCACGGTTGGAGGATGATGTGTAATGATTTTGACAATTTGTTATTGTTTTTACTTTCTTGGTTTATTTGATACGTCAAAAAATGTAATTTTTCATGGTAGTCATTATTATTTCATATCTGCATTTTGCACTGCATAACATCGTCACACTATACGAATTAGAATGATATAAAGATATGGAGATTGATAACTCACGATTGTTGCCTTAGTTGTCGTATCTGAAATACCTATGAATGGAATAAAAATGAGAAAAAAATTACAATATAACAGTTTCCGTACCATGGCTACACCTTTCTCTATTTCTCAATTTCTTCCCAAATTTAGAGTTAAAGTATTTAGAGATATAGAAACTATCTCTACATCACTAGTTGGCTACTAATTATTTCATCACCCACGAAAGAGAAAAAACTGTGGTCCGAGTGTCATAGAACTGGGAGAGATAATTTAATGTCATGGAAAGGGAAGGAGAAAGAAATGTATATTTCAGCACAGGATTAATCCACCAGACGTGATTGTGTTGTGATGCGGAATAGTTTAAGAGCTATAGATTTTCTTATGCTATGTTTACACTATGTTCCCGGCGGCCACGGCAGCACCGTTTGCCCGAAACGTAGTGCGCCGTGGGATTTTGGCAATATTTTTCTCTGTGTTCAAGTTTTGTTAGGTCTTGTCAAGTTTTCTCACGGTCTTTCACGGTATCCGTGGCTGCTGAGTCCCGGAGGCTCCAAGGCGCACTACGGTTCGGCCCCGGTCTTCCACGGATGCCAGTACATTCCCTCCCGGCCCGTCACGTTCTGATGGGGTCCCTCACGTTTCTCACGTTATGATCAAGGTCTGACACGTTTTTCACGTTCTGTCAAGGCTCTCTACGGATGAAATGTAGGGCAGTATTGGGCAGTATTGGAGCACGGTTGTGCCCACGGTATAAAAAGAAGGTCTTCCAAGCAGTAAAGTGCAGCGTAGCATGCTGCTGGAGGAAGTAAATGTTGAGGAAGTAAAGGTGGTGACGACCCTGTGGGCTGCCCTCTTCCAGGCTGGTGCGTCTTCCTCAGCCTCCCCAGCCTCCTCAGCCTCGGATTCAGGTTCCAGTTCAGGGACCGGGTTAACAGCAGCAGCATGCTCCTCTTCATTGGCGGGGGTGAACGGCGAGGGTCTTCAGGCTGTTCCTGCTACCATACACCCTGGGCAGCAGGCAAAATGTGGCAAAATGGTACAAAATGCGTAGAGGTGGGACGGTTTCTCATCCGCACCGTGAAGGTCCGGTCACACAGATGGTGGTGATATATAAGTAATTATTTGGCAGCAACCGTGAAGCAACCGTGACAAAACGTGCACTAAACGTGGCAGAACGTAACAAGGCTTCCCGTCCCACCTCTAAGTTTTGTTACGGCCTACAAAGGACTGTCACGTTGTTCACCCCGTACGGCCTACTAGGTTTCTCATCCGCATCGTGAAGGTCCGGTCACACAGATGGTGGTGATATATAAGTAATTATTTGGCAGCAACCGTGAAGCAACCGTGACAAAACGTGCACTAAACGTGGCAGAACGTAACAAAACTTGAAAAAACCGTAAGATGCCGGGGAATGTGCTGGCTTCCCGTCCCACCTCTAAGTTTTGTTACGGCCTACAAAGGACTGTCACGTTGTTCACCCCGTACGGCCTACTAGGTTTCTCATCCGCACCGTGAAGGTCCGGTCACACAGATGGTGGTGATATATAAGTAATTATTTGGTCTTTTAAGCACGTTTATAATCGATTGGTTTTACAGGTTATCCAAGGTTGATGGTAATAATAACGTTACTTACACCGGCTAATCGTCTTATTGTTCTGTCCGTGAATCTCTGGTTGTATTAAATTAGTAATTCTGAGGTGTCTTAAAACACCTTTTTAAATGGTGGTCAAGGTTGCCATAAGTTCCGCGGTAATGATCTCGTGACTCAAACGGATTATTAATCTAAGCTGGGCATCCGTGATTTTTAGGTGTGAAAAATTAGTCATTATTATGTGTCTTAAAACACCTTTTTAAATGGTATCAAAGTTACCCAAACTTTCTTGGTGATGATCACGTGGCTAAAACTATCACTAACACTTCACGTGTTTCTGAGACGCGATTTCAAAACGTCTAAAGAATGTGATAATTTCGTTTATGAAAATGTAATTTCATAACTAAACATAAACGTGAGTATAAGGTTTACAAACCATGGTCTCCAAGGTAGGGATAATATTATAAGGGTGATAGTGTAGTGACAATTGCGTGATTTCGTGTACGTGTGTTTTTAGTGACGTATTACTGTTCGGACACTCGTGTTATTCTAGCGATTTCCAGACGTTTTCCAGAGCATTATCATTACATATTTCTTAAACGAATTATTTAGATAGAATGATATGCCATTTTAAGATTGACTTCTTTTTAATTTGTGCTCCCCCACTCCCATCTAAAAGTAAAGGTAATTTCCATACAACACTTGGTACCTTTGCAAGGGACACATTCCTTCACGTCAATGGCCCCGTTGTGTTTATCAAGGTTTAATAGTGTATACAAACTTCGGGAAAATACTCTAGCATCGATCTCTTCTGATAAACAGTAAAAAAAAAAATTAATGATACAAAAAAAGAAAACTGAGAAAGATTTGTTAAAAAAGCTAGAAGAAGAAAGAGAGAGAAAATGAAACTGAGAACAGGTAGAGAGAGAGAGAGAGAGAGAGAGAGAGGGGAGATGCAAAAATGTAGTCAAAACACAAGTTCCTCCTTACTCGCAATCCGAGTCCACGGCGCAGGCACCTATAATGAGCCATTTATAATTATGAAGACTTATGTGATGGTTTATATTCAAGTTCTTTTAAAGACAATAAGGACGACGATAAAGTAAAATAACACGATTATGTTGATCATTTTAGAGAGGATTCGACTCTACCACCACCAGGCCATCACTGGTCCATGGCACAGTCACGATGAAGTCACGAACGAATACCTAAGCTCTCCTGGTTCCTTCTGACTCATTAATATTCATTAGTTCGCCATAGGACAATAACTTTTATAAATGTAATGCTTCCTGGGAGAAATTTCAATTATTTAAACATATTTGTGGCTTAAACCCAGTAAATAAGATCGATTGATCGATCTGTATTGAAAAACAAGTTTTAAAAAAATCTTTGAACCAGCGGGACTTGAACCTGCATCTCCTGCCTGCCGGGCAGCGACTCTGCCACCAGGCCATCACTGGTCCATGGCACAGTCACGATGAACTAGAACAAATACCTAAGCCCTCCTGATTCTTTCTGACTCATTAATATTTATTAGTCCGCCATAGGACAATAAATATTCTCCCAGAAAGCATAAATGTTATGCTTCCTGGGAGAAATTTCAATTATTTAAACATATTTGTGGCTAACACACAGTGAATAAGATCGATTGGTCGATCTGTATTGAAAAACAAGTCAAAACAAATCTTTGAACCAGCGGGACTTGAACATGCATCTAATGCTTGCCGGGCAGTTCGTTATAGGAATGAAATAATAAAGGCCACTGTCCTAAATTTACACCGTGTCTTTTATTTGGTGATCGAATGGAGATGCAAAACCTGAGTTGAGAGGTAAGAGGTTTGAAGAAATATTACCTGTTTCACAGGTTGTACCAGTGTACCCAGTTGCACACACGCACATCAATGTAGTCAAATCACAAGTTCCTCCGTACATGCCGCAGTCCAAGTCCACGGTGCAGGCACCTATAATGAGCCATTTATTATCGTTAAGACTTATGTGATGGTTTATATTCAAGTTCTTTAAAAAACAATAAGGACGACGATAGAGTAAAAGAACACGATGATGTTGAGCATATTAGAGATAACAGTATTCATAACGACTATGATGATGATGATTAAGATGGTGATGATGAATAATGATGGATATATTGTCTATATACCAAGTTAAGTCTTCTGTTCTATTTTTGTAATCGAGTATCGACCTTTCTTTCGAGATATTGAAATAACGTGAGGCCAAAGAGGCAAAATACCTTGGTGACAGCATGAAGTTTGTATAGCGATAGGACCCGAGGAAGATTTATAATGATTAACCTTTGCATTTTTGTTCGACAATTAAGCTTTATTCATACTTTTGTAAGTGTGAAAGAGAAAATGTTCTAAAAATAGGGTTTCTTCTTCAGTTCGTTATAGGAATGCAAAAATCAAGGCCACTGTCCTAAATTTACATCATGTCTTTTATTTGGTGATCGAATGGAGATGCAGAACATGAGTTGAGAGGTAAGAGGTTTAAATAAATCTTACCTGTTCCACAGGTTGTACCAGTGTACCCAGTTGCACACATGCACATCAATGTAGTCAAATCACAAGTTCCTCCGTACTCGCAATCCGAGTCCACGGCGCAGACACCTATAATGAGCCATTTATTATCGTTAAGGCTCATGTGATGGATTGTTTTCAAGCTCTTTTAAAGACAATGAGGACGACGATATTGGTAAAAGAACACGATGATGTTGATTATTTTAGAGATAACATCATTCATAACGACTCTGAGGATGATGATGAAAATGGTGATAATGAATAATGATGGATATAATGTCTATATACGAAGTTAAATCTTCTTTTCTAATTTTCTAATCGAGTAGCATTCCCGCCTTTCGAGATATTGAAATAACGTCAGGCCAAAGAGGCTAAATACCTTGGTGACAGCACAAAATTTGTATAGCATTAGGTCCCGAAAGAAGACTTAAAGTAATCAACCTTCTCGTTCTTGTAAGACACTGTAGCTTGAAACACACTTTTGCAATTGGGGAAAATAGAATCATTCTTAAAGTAAATTTGTTCGTCGGTACGTTATAGGAATGAAATAATCCTGCCCTAAATTTACACCATGTCTTTTATTTGGTGATCAAATGGAGATGCAAAACCTGAGTTGAGAGGTAAGAGGGTTGAAGAAATCTTACCTGTTCCACAGGTTGTACCAGTGTACCCAGTTGCACACATGCACATCAATGTAGTCAAATCACAAGTTCCTCCGTACTCGCAATCCGAGTCCACGGCGCAGGCACCTATAATGAGCAATTTATCATCGTTCAGACTTACGTGATGATTATTCAAGTTTATTAAAGACAATGAGGACGACGATGAAGTAAAAGAACACGATGATGTTCATCCTTTTAGAGATAACAGTATTAGTAACGACTATGATGATGATGATGAAGATGGTGATATTGAATAATGATGGATATAATGTCTATATACGAAGTTAAATCTTCTTTTATAATTTTCTAATCGAGTAGCATTCCCGTCTTTCGAGATTTTGAAATAACGTCAGGCCAAAGAGGCAAAATACCTTGGTGACAGCATCAAGTTTGTATAGCGATAGGACCCGAGGAAGACTTATAATAATCAACCTTTGCATTTGTGTTCGACAATTAAGCTTTATTCACACTTTTGTAAGTGTGAAACAGAAAATGTTCATATCATAGAGTTTCTTCTTCAGTTCGTTATAGGAATGAAATAATCAAGGCCACTGTCCTAAATTTACACCGTGTCTTTTATTTGGTGATCGAATGGAGATGCAAAACCTGAGTTGAGAGGTAAGAGGTTTGAAGAAATCTTACCTGTTTCACAGTTTGTACCAGTGTACCCAGTTGCACACATGCACGTCAATTTAGACAAAACACATTTTCCTCCGTACCCGCACTCCGAGTCCATAGTGCAGTTACCTATAATGAGCCACATGTTATCGGTAAGACTTATCTGATGGATTATATTCAAGTTCTTTAAAAAAACAATGAGAACGACGATAGACTAAAAGAACACGATGATGTTGAGCATTTTAGAGATAACAGTTTTTATAACGACTATGATGAAGATGATTAAGATGGTGATGATGAATAATGATGGATATAATGTCTATATACAAAGTTAATTCTTCTGTTCTAATTTTCTAATCGAGTAGCATTCCCGCCTTTCGAGATATTGAAATAACGTGAGGCCAAAGAGGCAAAATACCTTGGTGACAGCATCAAGTTTGTATAGCGATAGGACCCGAGGAAGATTAATAATGATCAACCTTTGCATTTTTGTTCGACAATTAAGCTTTATTCATACTTTTGTAAGTGTGAAAGAGAAAATGTTCTAAAAATAGAGTTTCTTCTTCAATTCGTTATAGAAATGAAATAATCAAGGCCACTGTCCTAAATTTACACCGTGTCTTTTATTTGGTGATCGAATGGAGATGCAAAACCTGAGTTGAGAGGTAAGAGGTTTGAATAAATCTTACCTGTTTCACAGGTTGTACCAGTGTACCCAGTTGCACACACACACAACAATGTAGTCAAATCACAAGTTCCTCCGTACATGCCGCAGTCCAAGTCCACGGTGCAGGCACCTATAATGAGCCATTTATTATCGTTAAGACTTATGTGATGGTTTATATTCAAGTTCTTTAAAAAACGATAAGGACGACGATATTGGTAAAAGAACACGATGATGTTGATAATTTTAGAGATAACATCATTCATAACGACTCTAATGATGATGATGAAGATGGTGATAATGAATAATGATGGATATAATGTCTATATACTAAGTTAAATCTTCTTTTCTAATTAATTATACATATTCTATATAATTATTCATACTTTTGTAAGTGTGAAAGAGAAAATGTTCTAAAAATAGGGTTTCTTCTTCAGTTCGTTATAGGAATGAAATAATCAAGGCCACTGTCCTAAATTTACACCGTGTCTTTTATTTGGTGATCGAATGGAGATGCAGAACATGAGTTGAGAGGTAAGAAGTTTGAATAAATCTTACCTGTTCCACAGGTTGTACCAGTGTACCCAGTTGCACACATGCACATCAATGTAGTCAAATCACAAGTTCCTCCGTACTCGCAATCCGAGTCCACGGCGCAGGCACCTATAATGAGCCATTTATTATCGTTAAGGCTCATGTGATGGATTGTTTTCAAGCTCTTTTAAAGACAATGAGGACGACGATATTGGTAAAAGAACACGATGATGTTGATAATTTTAGAGATAACATCATTCATAACGACTCTAATGATGATGATGAAGATGGTGATAATGAATAATGATGGATATAATGTCTATATACTAAGTTAAATCTTCTTTTCTAATTTTCTAATCGAGTAGCATTCCCGCCTTTCGAGATATTGAAATAACGTCAGGCCAAAGAGGCTAAATACCTTGGTGACAGCACAAAATTTGTATAGCATTAGGTCCCGAAAGAAGACTTAAAGTAATCAACCTTCTCGTTCTTGTAAGACACTGTAGCTTGAAACACACTTTTGCAATTGGGGAAAATAGAATCATTCTTAAATTAAATTTGTTCGTCGGTACGTTATAGGAATGAAATAATCCTGCCCTAAATTTACACCATGTCTTTTATTTGGTGATCAAATGGAGATGCAAAACCTGAGTTGAGAGGTAAGAGGTTTGAAGAAATCTTACCTGTTCCACAGGTTGTACCAGTGTACCCAGTTGCACACATGCACATCAATGTAGTCAAATCACAAGTTCCTCCGTACTCGCAATCCGAGTCCACGGCGCAGGCACCTATAATGAGCAATTTATCATCGTTCAGACTTACGTGATGATTATTCAAGTTTATTAAAGACAATGAGGACGACGATGAAGTAAAAGAACACGATGATGTTCATCCTTTTAGAGATAACAGTATTAATAACGACTATGATGATGATGATGAAGATGGTGATATTGAATAATGATGGATATAATGTCTATATACGAAGTTAAATCTTCTTTTATAATTTTCTAATCGAGTAGCATTCCCGTCTTTCGAGATTTTGAAATAACGTCAGGCCAAAGAGGCAAAATACCTTGGTGACAGCATCAAGTTTGTATAGCGATAGGACCCGAGGAAGACTTATAATAATCAACCATTGCATTTGTGTTCGACAATTAAGCTTTATTCACACTTTTGTAAGTGTGAAACAGAAAATGTTCATATCATAGATTTTCTTCTTCAGTTCGTTATAGGAATGAAATAATCAAGGCCACTGTCCTAAATTTACACCGTGTCTTTTATTTTGTGATCGAATGGAGATGCAAAACCTGAGTTGAGAGGTAGAGGTTTGAAGAAATCTTACCTGTTTCACAGTTTGTACCAGTGTACCCAGTTGCACACATGCACGTCAATTTAGACAAAACACATTTTCCTCCGTACCCGCACTCCGAGTCCATGGTGCAGTTACCTATAATGAGCCACATGTTATCGGTAAGACTTATCTGATGGATTATATTCAAGTTCTTTAAAAAACAATGAGAACGACGATAGAGTAAAAGAACACGATGATGTTGAGCATTTTAGAGATAACAGTTTTTATAACGACTATGATGAAGATGATTAAGATGGTGATGATGAATAATGATGGATATAATGTCTATATACCAAGTTAATTCTTCTGTTCTAATTTTCTAATCGAGTAGCATTCCCGCCTTTCGAGATATTGAAATAACGTGAGGCCAAAGAGGCAAAATACCTTGGTGACAGCATCAAGTTTGTATAGCGATAGGACCCGAGGAAGATTTATAATGATCAACCTTTGCATTTTGTTCGACAATTAAGCTTTATTCATACTTTTGTAAGTGTGAAAGAGAAAATGTTCTAAAAATAGAGTTTCTTCTTCAATTCGTTATAGAAATGAAATAATCAAGGCCCCTGTCCTAAATTTACACCGTGTCTTTTATTTGGTGATCGAATGGAGATGCAAAACCTGAGTTGAGAGGTAAGAGGTTTAAATAAATTTCACCTGTTTCACAGGTTGTACCAGTGTACCCAGTTGCACACACACACATCAATGTAGTCAAATCACAAGTTCCTCCGTACATGCCGCAGTCCAAGTCCACGGTGCAGGCACCTATAATGAGCCATTTATTATCGTTAAGACTTATGTGATGGTTTATATTCAAGTTCTTTAAAAAACAATAAGGACGACGATAGAGTAAAAGAACACGATGATGTTGAGCATATTAGAGATAACAGTATTCATAACGACTATGATGATGATGATTAAGATGGTGATGATGAATAATGATGGATATATTGTCTATATACCAAGTTAAGTCTTCTGTTCTATTTTTGTAATCGAGTATCGACCTTTCTTTCGAGATATTGAAATAACGTGAGGCCAAAGAGGCAAAATACCTTGGTGACAGCATGAAGTTTGTATAGCGATAGGACCCGAGGAAGATTTATAATGATTAACCTTTGCATTTTTGTTCGACAATTAAGCTTTATTCATACTTTTGTAAGTGTGAAAGAGAAAATGTTCTAAAAATAGAGTTTCTTCTTCAATTCGTTATATGAATGCAAAAATCAAGGCCACTGTCCTAAATTTACATTGTGTCTTTTATTTGGTGATCGAATGGAGATGCAGAACATGAGTTGAGAGGTAAGAAGTTTGAATAAATCTTACCTGTTCCACAGGTTGTACCAGTGTACCCAGTTGCACACATGCACATCAATGTAGTCAAATCACAAGTTCCTCCGTACTCGCAATCCGAGTCCACGGCGCAGGCACCTATAATGAGCCATTTATTATCGTTAAGGCTCATGTGATGGATTGTTTTCAAGCTCTTTTAAAGACAATGAGGACGACGATATTGGTAAAAGAACACGATGATGTTGATAATTTTAGAGATAACATCATTCATAACGACTCTGATGATGATGATGAAGATGGTGATAATGAATAATGATGGATATAATGTCTATATACCAAGTTAAATCTTCTTTTCTAATTTTCTAATCGAGTAGCATTCCCGCCTTTCGAGATATTGAAATAACGTCAGGCCAAAGAGGCTAAATACCTTGGTGACAGCACGAAATTTGTATAGCATTAGGTCCCGAAAGAAGACTTAAAGTAATCAACCTTCTCGTTCCTGTAAAACACTGTAGCTTGAATCACACTTTTGCAATTGGGGAAAATAGAATCATTCTTAAAGTAAATTTGTTCGTCGGTACGTTATAGGAATGAAATAATCCTGCCCTAAATTTACACCATGTCTTTTATTTGGTGATCAAATGGAGATGCAAAACTTGAGTTGAGAGGTAAGAGGTTTGAAGAAATCTTACCTGTTCCACAGGTTGTACCAGTGTACCCAGTTGCACACATGCACATCAATGTAGTCAAATCACAAGTTCCTCCGTACTCGCAATCCGAGTCCACGGCGCAGGCACCTATAATGAGCAATTTATCATCGTTCATTTCTAATCGAGTAGCATTCCCGTCTTTCGAGATTTTGAAATAACGTCAGGCCAAAGAGGCAAAATACCTTGGTGACAGCATCAAGTTTGTATAGCGATAGGACCCGAGGAAGACTTATAATAATCAACCATTGCATTTGTGTTCGACAATTAAGCTTTATTCACACTTTTGTAAGTGTGAAACAGAAAATGTTCATATCATAGATTTTCTTCTTCAGTTCGTTATAGGAATGAAATAATCAAGGCCACTGTCCTAAATTTACACCGTGTCTTTTATTTTGTGATCGAATGGAGATGCAAAACCTGAGTTGAGAGGTAGAGGTTTGAAGAAATCTTACCTGTTTCACAGTTTGTACCAGTGTACCCAGTTGCACACATGCACGTCAATTTAGACAAAACACATTTTCCTCCGTACCCGCACTCCGAGTCCATGGTGCAGTTACCTATAATGAGCCACATGTTATCGGTAAGACTTATCTGATGGATTATATTCAAGTTCTTTAAAAAACAATGAGAACGACGATAGAGTAAAAGAACACGATGATGTTGAGCATTTTAGAGATAACAGTTTTTATAACGACTATGATGAAGATGATTAAGATGGTGATGATGAATAATGATGGATATAATGTCTATATACCAAGTTAATTCTTCTGTTCTAATTTTCTAATCGAGTAGCATTCCCGCCTTTCGAGATATTGAAATAACGTGAGGCCAAAGAGGCAAAATACCTTGGTGACAGCATCAAGTTTGTATAGCGATAGGACCCGAGGAAGATTTATAATGATCAACCTTTGCATTTTGTTCGACAATTAAGCTTTATTCATACTTTTGTAAGTGTGAAAGAGAAAATGTTCTAAAAATAGAGTTTCTTCTTCAATTCGTTATAGAAATGAAATAATCAAGGCCCCTGTCCTAAATTTACACCGTGTCTTTTATTTGGTGATCGAATGGAGATGCAAAACCTGAGTTGAGAGGTAAGAGGTTTAAATAAATTTCACCTGTTTCACAGGTTGTACCAGTGTACCCAGTTGCACACACACACATCAATGTAGTCAAATCACAAGTTCCTCCGTACATGCCGCAGTCCAAGTCCACGGTGCAGGCACCTATAATGAGCCATTTATTATCGTTAAGACTTATGTGATGGTTTATATTCAAGTTCTTTAAAAAACAATAAGGACGACGATAGAGTAAAAGAACACGATGATGTTGAGCATATTAGAGATAACAGTATTCATAACGACTATGATGATGATGATTAAGATGGTGATGATGAATAATGATGGATATATTGTCTATATACCAAGTTAAGTCTTCTGTTCTATTTTTGTAATCGAGTATCGACCTTTCTTTCGAGATATTGAAATAACGTGAGGCCAAAGAGGCAAAATACCTTGGTGACAGCATGAAGTTTGTATAGCGATAGGACCCGAGGAAGATTTATAATGATTAACCTTTGCATTTTTGTTCGACAATTAAGCTTTATTCATACTTTTGTAAGTGTGAAAGAGAAAATGTTCTAAAAATAGAGTTTCTTCTTCAATTCGTTATATGAATGCAAAAATCAAGGCCACTGTCCTAAATTTACATTGTGTCTTTTATTTGGTGATCGAATGGAGATGCAGAACATGAGTTGAGAGGTAAGAAGTTTGAATAAATCTTACCTGTTCCACAGGTTGTACCAGTGTACCCAGTTGCACACATGCACATCAATGTAGTCAAATCACAAGTTCCTCCGTACTCGCAATCCGAGTCCACGGCGCAGGCACCTATAATGAGCCATTTATTATCGTTAAGGCTCATGTGATGGATTGTTTTCAAGCTCTTTTAAAGACAATGAGGACGACGATATTGGTAAAAGAACACGATGATGTTGATAATTTTAGAGATAACATCATTCATAACGACTCTGATGATGATGATGAAGATGGTGATAATGAATAATGATGGATATAATGTCTATATACCAAGTTAAATCTTCTTTTCTAATTTTCTAATCGAGTAGCATTCCCGCCTTTCGAGATATTGAAATAACGTCAGGCCAAAGAGGCTAAATACCTTGGTGACAGCACGAAATTTGTATAGCATTAGGTCCCGAAAGAAGACTTAAAGTAATCAACCTTCTCGTTCCTGTAAAACACTGTAGCTTGAATCACACTTTTGCAATTGGGGAAAATAGAATCATTCTTAAAGTAAATTTGTTCGTCGGTACGTTATAGGAATGAAATAATCCTGCCCTAAATTTACACCATGTCTTTTATTTGGTGATCAAATGGAGATGCAAAACTTGAGTTGAGAGGTAAGAGGTTTGAAGAAATCTTACCTGTTCCACAGGTTGTACCAGTGTACCCAGTTGCACACATGCACATCAATGTAGTCAAATCACAAGTTCCTCCGTACTCGCAATCCGAGTCCACGGCGCAGGCACCTATAATGAGCAATTTATCATCGTTCATTTCTAATCGAGTAGCATTCCCGTCTTTCGAGATTTTGAAATAACGTCAGGCCAAAGAGGCAAAATACCTTGGTGACAGCATCAAGTTTGTATAGCGATAGGACCCGAGGAAGACTTATAATAATCAACCTTTGCATTTTTGTTCGACAATTAAGCTTTATTCACACTTTTGTAAGTGTGAAACAGAAAATGTTCATATCATAGATTTTCTTCTTCAGTTCGTTATAGGAATGAAATAATCAAGGCCACTGTCCTAAATTTACACCGTGTCTTTTATTTGGTGATCGAATGGAGATGCAAAACCTGAGTTGAGAGGTAAGAGGTTTGAAGAAATCTTACCTGTTTCACAGTTTGTACCAGTGTACCCAGTTGCACACATGCACGTCAATTTAGACAAAACACATTTTCCTCCGTACCCGCACTCCGAGTCCATAGTGCAGTTACCTATAATGAGCCACATGTTATCGGTAAGACTTATCTGATGGATTATATTCAAGTTCTTTAAAAAAACAATGAGAACGACGATAGACTAAAAGAACACGATGATGTTGAGCATTTTAGAGATAACAGTTTTTATAACGACTATGATGAAGATGATTAAGATGGTGATGATGAATGATGATGGATATAATGTCTATATACAAAGTTAATTCTTCTGTTCTAATTTTCTAATCGAGTAGCATTCCCGCCTTTCGAGATATTGAAATAACGTGAGGCCAAAGAGGCAAAATACCTTGGTGACAGCATCAAGTTTGTATAGCGATAGGACCCGAGGAAGATTAATAATGATCAACCTTTGCATTTTTGTTCGACAATTAAGCTTTATTCATACTTTTGTAAGTGTGAAAGAGAAAATGTTCTAAAAATAGAGTTTCTTCTTCAATTCGTTATAGAAATGAAATAATCAAGGCCACTGTCCTAAATTTACACCGTGTCTTTTATTTGGTGATCGAATGGAGATGCAAAACCTGAGTTGAGAGGTAAGAGGTTTGAATAAATCTTACCTGTTTCACAGGTTGTACCAGTGTACCCAGTTGCACACACACACAACAATGTAGTCAAATCACAAGTTCCTCCGTACATGCCGCAGTCCAAGTCCACGGTGCAGGCACCTATAATGAGCCATTTATTATCGTTAAGACTTATGTGATGGTTTATATTCAAGTTCTTTAAAAAACGATAAGGACGACGATATTGGTAAAAGAACACGATGATGTTGATAATTTTAGAGATAACATCATTCATAACGACTCTAATGATGATGATGAAGATGGTGATAATGAATAATGATGGATATAATGTCTATATACTAAGTTAAATCTTCTTTTCTAATTAATTATACATATTCTATATAATTATTCATACTTTTGTAAGTGTGAAAGAGAAAATGTTCTAAAAATAGGGTTTCTTCTTCAGTTCGTTATAGGAATGAAATAATCAAGGCCACTGTCCTAAATTTACACCGTGTCTTTTATTTGGTGATCGAATGGAGATGCAGAACATGAGTTGAGAGGTAAGAAGTTTGAATAAATCTTACCTGTTCCACAGGTTGTACCAGTGTACCCAGTTGCACACATGCACATCAATGTAGTCAAATCACAAGTTCCTCCGTACTCGCAATCCGAGTCCACGGCGCAGGCACCTATAATGAGCCATTTATTATCGTTAAGGCTCATGTGATGGATTGTTTTCAAGCTCTTTTAAAGACAATGAGGACGACGATATTGGTAAAAGAACACGATGATGTTGATAATTTTAGAGATAACATCATTCATAACGACTCTAATGATGATGATGAAGATGGTGATAATGAATAATGATGGATATAATGTCTATATACTAAGTTAAATCTTCTTTTCTAATTTTCTAATCGAGTAGCATTCCCGCCTTTCGAGATATTGAAATAACGTCAGGCCAAAGAGGCTAAATACCTTGGTGACAGCACAAAATTTGTATAGCATTAGGTCCCGAAAGAAGACTTAAAGTAATCAACCTTCTCGTTCTTGTAAGACACTGTAGCTTGAAACACACTTTTGCAATTGGGGAAAATAGAATCATTCTTAAATTAAATTTGTTCGTCGGTACGTTATAGGAATGAAATAATCCTGCCCTAAATTTACACCATGTCTTTTATTTGGTGATCAAATGGAGATGCAAAACCTGAGTTGAGAGGTAAGAGGTTTGAAGAAATCTTACCTGTTCCACAGGTTGTACCAGTGTACCCAGTTGCACACATGCACATCAATGTAGTCAAATCACAAGTTCCTCCGTACTCGCAATCCGAGTCCACGGCGCAGGCACCTATAATGAGCAATTTATCATCGTTCAGACTTACGTGATGATTATTCAAGTTTATTAAAGACAATGAGGACGACGATGAAGTAAAAGAACACGATGATGTTCATCCTTTTAGAGATAACAGTATTAATAACGACTATGATGATGATGATGAAGATGGTGATATTGAATAATGATGGATATAATGTCTATATACGAAGTTAAATCTTCTTTTATAATTTTCTAATCGAGTAGCATTCCCGTCTTTCGAGATTTTGAAATAACGTCAGGCCAAAGAGGCAAAATACCTTGGTGACAGCATCAAGTTTGTATAGCGATAGGACCCGAGGAAGACTTATAATAATCAACCATTGCATTTGTGTTCGACAATTAAGCTTTATTCACACTTTTGTAAGTGTGAAACAGAAAATGTTCATATCATAGATTTTCTTCTTCAGTTCGTTATAGGAATGAAATAATCAAGGCCACTGTCCTAAATTTACACCGTGTCTTTTATTTTGTGATCGAATGGAGATGCAAAACCTGAGTTGAGAGGTAGAGGTTTGAAGAAATCTTACCTGTTTCACAGTTTGTACCAGTGTACCCAGTTGCACACATGCACGTCAATTTAGACAAAACACATTTTCCTCCGTACCCGCACTCCGAGTCCATGGTGCAGTTACCTATAATGAGCCACATGTTATCGGTAAGACTTATCTGATGGATTATATTCAAGTTCTTTAAAAAACAATGAGAACGACGATAGAGTAAAAGAACACGATGATGTTGAGCATTTTAGAGATAACAGTTTTTATAACGACTATGATGAAGATGATTAAGATGGTGATGATGAATAATGATGGATATAATGTCTATATACCAAGTTAATTCTTCTGTTCTAATTTTCTAATCGAGTAGCATTCCCGCCTTTCGAGATATTGAAATAACGTGAGGCCAAAGAGGCAAAATACCTTGGTGACAGCATCAAGTTTGTATAGCGATAGGACCCGAGGAAGATTTATAATGATCAACCTTTGCATTTTGTTCGACAATTAAGCTTTATTCATACTTTTGTAAGTGTGAAAGAGAAAATGTTCTAAAAATAGAGTTTCTTCTTCAATTCGTTATAGAAATGAAATAATCAAGGCCACTGTCCTAAATTTACACCGTGTCTTTTATTTGGTGATCGAATGGAGATGCAAAACCTGAGTTGAGAGGTAAGAGGTTTAAATAAATCTCACCTGTTTCACAGGTTGTACCAGTGTACCCAGTTGCACACACGCACATCAATGTAGTCAAATCACAAGTTCCTCCGTACATGCCGCAGTCCAAGTCCACGGTGCAGGCACCTATAATGAGCCATTTATTATCGTTAAGACTTATGTGATGGTTTATATTCAAGTTCTTTAAAAAACAATAAGGACGACGATAGAGTAAAAGAACACGATGATGTTGAGCATATTAGAGATAACAGTATTCATAACGACTATGATGATGATGATTAAGATGGTGATGATGAATAATGATGGATATATTGTCTATATACCAAGTTAAGTCTTCTGTTCTATTTTTGTAATCGAGTATCGACCTTTCTTTCGAGATATTGAAATAACGTGAGGCCAAAGAGGCAAAATACCTTGGTGACAGCATGAAGTTTGTATAGCGATAGGACCCGAGGAAGATTTATAATGATTAACCTTTGCATTTTTGTTCGACAATTAAGCTTTATTCATACTTTTGTAAGTGTGAAAGAGAAAATGTTCTAAAAATAGAGTTTCTTCTTCAATTCGTTATATGAATGCAAAAATCAAGGCCACTGTCCTAAATTTACATTGTGTCTTTTATTTGGTGATCGAATGGAGATGCAGAACATGAGTTGAGAGGTAAGAAGTTTGAATAAATCTTACCTGTTCCACAGGTTGTACCAGTGTACCCAGTTGCACACATGCACATCAATGTAGTCAAATCACAAGTTCCTCCGTACTCGCAATCCGAGTCCACGGCGCAGGCACCTATAATGAGCCATTTATTATCGTTAAGGCTCATGTGATGGATTGTTTTCAAGCTCTTTTAAAGACAATGAGGACGACGATATTGGTAAAAGAACACGATGATGTTGATAATTTTAGAGATAACATCATTCATAACGACTCTGATGATGATGATGAAGATGGTAATAATGAATAATGATGGATATAATGTCTATATACCAAGTTAAATCTTCTTTTCTAATTTTCTAATCGAGTAGCATTCCCGCCTTTCGAGATATTGAAATAACGTCAGGCCAAAGAGGCTAAATACCTTGGTGACAGCACAAAATTTGTATAGCATTAGGTCCCGAAAGAAGACTTAAAGTAATCAACCTTCTCGTTCTTGTAAGACACTGTAGCTTGAAACACACTTTTGCAATTGGGGAAAATAGAATCATTCTTAAATTAAATTTGTTCGTCGGTACGTTATAGGAATGAAATAATCCTGCCCTAAATTTACACCATGTCTTTTATTTGGTGATCAAATGGAGATGCAAAACCTGAGTTGAGAGGTAAGAGGTTTGAAGAAATCTTACCTGTTCCACAGGTTGTACCAGTGTACCCAGTTGCACACATGCACATCAATGTAGTCAAATCACAAGTTCCTCCGTACTCGCAATCCGAGTCCACGGCGCAGGCACCTATAATGAGCAATTTATCATCGTTCAGACTTACGTGATGATTATTCAAGTTTATTAAAGACAATGAGGACGACGATGAAGTAAAAGAACACGATGATGTTCATCCTTTTAGAGATAACAGTATTAATAACGACTATGATGATGATGATGAAGATGGTGATATTGAATAATGATGGATATAATGTCTATATACGAAGTTAAATCTTCTTTTATAATTTTCTAATCGAGTAGCATTCCCGTCTTTCGAGATTTTGAAATAACGTCAGGCCAAAGAGGCAAAATACCTTGGTGACAGCATCAAGTTTGTATAGCGATAGGACCCGAGGAAGACTTATAATAATCAACCTTTGCATTTTTGTTCGACAATTAAGCTTTATTCACACTTTTGTAAGTGTGAAACAGAAAATGTTCATATCATAGATTTTCTTCTTCAGTTCGTTATAGGAATGAAATAATCAAGGCCACTGTCCTAAATTTACACCGTGTCTTTTATTTGGTGATCGAATGGAGATGCAAAACCTGAGTTGAGAGGTAAGAGGTTTGAAGAAATCTTACCTGTTTCACAGTTTGTACCAGTGTACCCAGTTGCACACATGCACGTCAATTTAGACAAAACACATTTTCCTCCGTACCCGCACTCCGAGTCCATGGTGCAGTTACCTATAATGAGCCACATGTTATCGGTAAGACTTATCTGATGGATTATATTCAAGTTCTTTAAAAAACAATGAGAACGACGATAGAGTAAAAGAACACGATGATGTTGAGCATTTTAGAGATAACAGTTTTTATAACGACTATGATGAAGATGATTAAGATGGTGATGATGAATAATGATGGATATAATGTCTATATACCAAGTTAATTCTTCTGTTCTAATTTTCTAATCGAGTAGCATTCCCGTCTTTCGAGATATTGATATAACGTGAGGCCAAAGAGGCAAAATACCTTGGTGACAGCATCAAGTTTGTATAGCGATAGGACCCGAGGAAGATTTATAATGATCAACCTTTGCATTTTGTTCGACAATTAAGCTTTATTCATACTTTTGTAAGTGTGAAAGAGAAAATGTTCTAAAAATAGAGTTTCTTCTTCAATTCGTTATAGAAATGAAATAATCAAGGCCACTGTCCTAAATTTACACCGTGTCTTTTATTTGGTGATCGAATGGAGATGCAAAACCTGAGTTGAGAGGTAAGAGGTTTAAATAAATCTCACCTGTTTCACAGGTTGTACCAGTGTACCCAGTTGCACACACGCACATCAATGTAGTCAAATCACAAGTTCCTCCGTACATGCCGCAGTCCAAGTCCACGGTGCAGGCACCTATAATGAGCCATTTATTATCGTTAAGACTTATGTGATGGTTTATATTCAAGTTCTTTAAAAAACAATAAGGACGACGATAGAGTAAAAGAACACGATGATGTTGAGCATATTAGAGATAACAGTATTCATAACGACTATGATGATGATGATTAAGATGGTGATGATGAATAATGATGGATATATTGTCTATATACCAAGTTAAGTCTTCTGTTCTATTTTTGTAATCGAGTATCGACCTTTCTTTCGAGATATTGAAATAACGTGAGGCCAAAGAGGCAAAATACCTTGGTGACAGCATGAAGTTTGTATAGCGATAGGACCCGAGGAAGATTTATAATGATTAACCTTTGCATTTTTGTTCGACAATTAAGCTTTATTCATACTTTTGTAAGTGTGAAAGAGAAAATGTTCTAAAAATAGAGTTTCTTCTTCAATTCGTTATATGAATGCAAAAATCAAGGCCACTGTCCTAAATTTACATTGTGTCTTTTATTTGGTGATCGAATGGAGATGCAGAACATGAGTTGAGAGGTAAGAAGTTTGAATAAATCTTACCTGTTCCACAGGTTGTACCAGTGTACCCAGTTGCACACATGCACATCAATGTAGTCAAATCACAAGTTCCTCCGTACTCGCAATCCGAGTCCACGGCGCAGGCACCTATAATGAGCCATTTATTATCGTTAAGGCTCATGTGATGGATTGTTTTCAAGCTCTTTTAAAGACAATGAGGACGACGATATTGGTAAAAGAACACGATGATGTTGATAATTTTAGAGATAACATCATTCATAACGACTCTGATGATGATGATGAAGATGGTAATAATGAATAATGATGGATATAATGTCTATATACCAAGTTAAATCTTCTTTTCTAATTTTCTAATCGAGTAGCATTCCCGCCTTTCGAGATATTGAAATAACGTCAGGCCAAAGAGGCTAAATACCTTGGTGACAGCACAAAATTTGTATAGCATTAGGTCCCGAAAGAAGACTTAAAGTAATCAACCTTCTCGTTCTTGTAAGACACTGTAGCTTGAAACACACTTTTGCAATTGGGGAAAATAGAATCATTCTTAAATTAAATTTGTTCGTCGGTACGTTATAGGAATGAAATAATCCTGCCCTAAATTTACACCATGTCTTTTATTTGGTGATCAAATGGAGATGCAAAACCTGAGTTGAGAGGTAAGAGGTTTGAAGAAATCTTACCTGTTCCACAGGTTGTACCAGTGTACCCAGTTGCACACATGCACATCAATGTAGTCAAATCACAAGTTCCTCCGTACTCGCAATCCGAGTCCACGGCGCAGGCACCTATAATGAGCAATTTATCATCGTTCAGACTTACGTGATGATTATTCAAGTTTATTAAAGACAATGAGGACGACGATGAAGTAAAAGAACACGATGATGTTCATCCTTTTAGAGATAACAGTATTAATAACGACTATGATGATGATGATGAAGATGGTGATATTGAATAATGATGGATATAATGTCTATATACGAAGTTAAATCTTCTTTTATAATTTTCTAATCGAGTAGCATTCCCGTCTTTCGAGATTTTGAAATAACGTCAGGCCAAAGAGGCAAAATACCTTGGTGACAGCATCAAGTTTGTATAGCGATAGGACCCGAGGAAGACTTATAATAATCAACCTTTGCATTTTTGTTCGACAATTAAGCTTTATTCACACTTTTGTAAGTGTGAAACAGAAAATGTTCATATCATAGATTTTCTTCTTCAGTTCGTTATAGGAATGAAATAATCAAGGCCACTGTCCTAAATTTACACCGTGTCTTTTATTTGGTGATCGAATGGAGATGCAAAACCTGAGTTGAGAGGTAAGAGGTTTGAAGAAATCTTACCTGTTTCACAGTTTGTACCAGTGTACCCAGTTGCACACATGCACGTCAATTTAGACAAAACACATTTTCCTCCGTACCCGCACTCCGAGTCCATGGTGCAGTTACCTATAATGAGCCACATGTTATCGGTAAGACTTATCTGATGGATTATATTCAAGTTCTTTAAAAAACAATGAGAACGACGATAGAGTAAAAGAACACGATGATGTTGAGCATTTTAGAGATAACAGTTTTTATAACGACTATGATGAAGATGATTAAGATGGTGATGATGAATAATGATGGATATAATGTCTATATACCAAGTTAATTCTTCTGTTCTAATTTTCTAATCGAGTAGCATTCCCGTCTTTCGAGATATTGAAATAACGTGAGGCCAAAGAGGCAAAATACCTTGGTGACAGCATCAAGTTTGTATAGCGATAGGACCCGAGGAAGATTTATAATGATCAACCTTTGCATTTTGTTCGACAATTAAGCTTTATTCATACTTTTGTAAGTGTGAAAGAGAAAATGTTCTAAAAATAGAGTTTCTTCTTCAATTCGTTATAGAAATGAAATAATCAAGGCCACTGTCCTAAATTTACACTGTGTCTTTTATTTGGTGATCGAATGGAGATGCAAAACCTGAGTTGAGAGGTAAGAGGTTTAAATAAATCTTACCTGTTTCACAGGTTGTACCAGTGTACCCAGTTGCACACACGCACATCAATGTAGTCAAATCACAAGTTCCTCCGTACATGCCGCAGTCCAAGTCCACGGTGCAGGCACCTATAGTGAGCCATTTATTATCGTTAAGACTTATGTGATGGTTTATATTCAAGTTCTTTAAAAAACAATAAGGACGACGATAGAGTAAAAGAACACGATGATGTTGAGCATATTAAAGATAACAGTATTCATAACGACTATGATGATGATGATTAAGATGGTGATGATGAATAATGATGGATATATTGTCTATATACCAAGTTAAGTCTTCTGTTCTATTTTTGTAATCGAGTATCGACCTTTCTTTCGAGATATTGAAATAACGTGAGGCCAAAGAGGCAAAATACCTTGGTGACAGCATGAAGTTTGTATAGCGATAGGACCCGAGGAAGATTTATAATGATTAACCTTTGCATTTTTGTTCGACAATTAAGCTTTATTCATACTTTTGTAAGTGTGAAAGAGAAAATGTTCTAAAAATAGAGTTTCTTCTTCAATTCGTTATATGAATGCAAAAAACAAGGCCACTGTCCTAAATTTACATCGTGTCTTTTATTTGGTAATCGAATGGAGATGCAGAACATGAGTTGAGAGGTAAGAAGTTTGAATAAATCTTACCTGTTCCACAGGTTGTACCAGTGTACCCAGTTGCACACATGCACATCAATGTAGTCAAATCACAAGTTCCTCCGTACTCGCAATCCGAGTCCACGGCGCAGGCACCTATAATGAGCCATTTATTATCGTTAAGGCTCATGTGATGGATTGTTTTCAAGCTCTTTTAAAGACAATGAGGACGACGATATTGGTAAAAGAACACGATGATGTTGATAATTTTAGAGATAACATCATTCATAACGACTCTGATGATGATGATGAAGATGGTGATAATGAATAATGATGGATATAATGTCTATATACCAAGTTAAATCTTCTTTTCTAATTTTCTAATCGAGTAGCATTCCCGCCTTTCGAGATATTGAAATAACGTCAGGCCAAAGAGGCTAAATACCTTGGTGACAGCACGAAATTTGTATAGCATTAGGTCCCGAAAGAAGACTTAAAGTAATCAACCTTCTCGTTCCTGTAAAACACTGTAGCTTGAATCACACTTTTGCAATTGGGGAAAATAGAATCATTCTTAAAGTAAATTTGTTCGTCGGTACGTTATAGGAATGAAATAATCCTGCCCTAAATTTACACCATGTCTTTTATTTGGTGATCAAATGGAGATGCAAAACTTGAGTTGAGAGGTAAGAGGTTTGAAGAAATCTTACCTGTTCCACAGGTTGTACCAGTGTACCCAGTTGCACACATGCACATCAATGTAGTCAAATCACAAGTTCCTCCGTACTCGCAATCCGAGTCCACGGCGCAGGCACCTATAATGAGCAATTTATCATCGTTCAGACTTATATGATGATTATTCAAGTTTATTAAAGACAATGAGGACGACGATAAAGTAAAAGAACACGATGATGTTCATCCTTTTAGAGATAACTGTATTAATAACGACTATGATGATGTTGATGAAGATGGTGATATTGAATAATGATGGATATAATGTCTATATACGAAGTTAAATCTTCTTTTATAATTTTCTAATCGAGTAGCATTCCCGTCTTTCGAGATTTTGAAATAACGTCAGGCCAAAGAGGCAAAATACCTTGGTGACAGCATCAAGTTTGTATAGCGATAGGACCCGAGGAAGACTTATAATAATCAACCTTTGCATTTTTGTTCGACAATTAAGCTTTATTCACACTTTTGTAAGTGTGAAACAGAAAATGTTCATATCATAGATTTTCTTCTTCAGTTCGTTATAGGAATGAAATAATCAAGGCCACTGTCCTAAATTTACACCGTGTCTTTTATTTGGTGATCGAATGGAGATGCAAAACCTGAGTTGAGAGGTAAGAGGTTTGAAGAAATCTTACCTGTTTCACAGTTTGTACCAGTGTACCCAGTTGCACACATGCACGTCAATTTAGACAAAACACATTTTCCTCCGTACCCGCACTCCGAGTCCATGGTGCAGTTACCTATAATGAGCCACATGTTATCGGTAAGACTTATCTGATGGATTATATTCAAGTTCTTTAAAAAACAATGAGAACGACAATAGAGTAAAAGAACACGATGATGTTGAGCATTTTAGAGATAACAGTTTTTATAACGACTATGATGAAGATGATTAAGATGGTGATGATGAATAATGATGGATATAATGTCTATATACCAAGTTAATTCTTCTGTTCTAATTTTCTAATCGAGTAGCATTCCCGTCTTTCGAGATATTGAAATAACGTGAGGCCAAAGAGGCAAAATACCTTGGTGACAGCATCAAGTTTGTATAGCGATAGGACCCGAGGAAGATTTATAATGATCAACCTTTGCATTTTGTTCGACAATTAAGCTTTATTCATACTTTTGTAAGTGTGAAAGAGAAAATGTTCTAAAAATAGAGTTTCTTCTTCAATTCGTTATAGAAATGAAATAATCAAGGCCACTGTCCTAAATTTACACTGTGTCTTTTATTTGGTGATCGAATGGAGATGCAAAACCTGAGTTGAGAGGTAAGAGGTTTAAATAAATCTTACCTGTTTCACAGGTTGTACCAGTGTACCCAGTTGCACACACGCACATCAATGTAGTCAAATCACAAGTTCCTCCGTACATGCCGCAGTCCAAGTCCACGGTGCAGGCACCTATAGTGAGCAATTTATTATCGTTAAGACTTATGTGATGGTTTATATTCAAGTTCTTTAAAAAACAATAAGGACGACGATAGAGTAAAAGAACACGATGATGTTGAGCATATTAAAGATAACAGTATTCATAACGACTATGATGATGATGATTAAGATGGTGATGATGAATAATGATGGATATATTGTCTATATACCAAGTTAAGTCTTCTGTTCCATTTTTGTAATCGAGTATCGACCTTTCTTTCGAGATATTGAAATAACGTGAGGCCAAAGAGGCAAAATACCTTGGTGACAGCATCAAGTTTGTATAGCGATAGGACCCGAGGAAGATTTATAATGATTAACCTTTGCATTTTTGTTCGACAATTAAGCTTTATTCATACTTTTGTAAGTGTGAAAGAGAAAATGTTCTAAAAATAGAGTTTCTTCTTCAATTCGTTATAGGAATGCAAAAAACAAGGCCACTGTCCTAAATTTACATCGTGTCTTTTATTTGGTGATCGAATGGAGATGCAGAACATGAGTTGAGAGGTAAGAAGTTTGAATAAATCTTACCTGTTCCACAGGTTGTACCAGTGTACCCAGTTGCACACATGCACATCAATGTAGTCAAATCACAAGTTCCTCCGTACTCGCAATCCGAGTCCACGGCGCAGGCACCTATAATGAGCCATTTATTATCGTTAAGGCTCATGTGATGGATTGTTTTCAAGCTCTTTTAAAGACAATGAGGACGACGATATTGGTAAAAGAACACGATGATGTTGATAATTTTAGAGATAACATCATTCATAACGACTCTGATGATGATGATGAAGATGGTGATAATGAATAATGATTGATATAATGTCTATATACCAAGTTAAATCTTCTTTTCTAATTTTCTAATCGAGTAGCATTCCCGCCTTTCGAGATATTGAAATAACGTCAGGCCAAAGAGGCTAAATACCTTGGTGACAGCACGAAATTTGTATAGCATTAGGTCCCGAAAGAAGACTTAAAGTAATCAACCTTCTCGTTCCTGTAAAACACTGTAGCTTGAATCACACTTTTGCAATTGGGGAAAATAGAATCATTCTTAAAGTAAATTTGTTCGTCGGTACGTTATAGGAATGAAATAATCCTGCCCTAAATTTACACCATGTCTTTTATTTGGTGATCAAATGGAGATGCAAAACTTGAGTTGAGAGGTAAGAGGTTTGAAGAAATCTTACCTGTTCCACAGGTTGTACCAGTGTACCCAGTTGCACACATGCACATCAATGTAGTCAAATCACAAGTTCCTCCGTACTCGCAATCCGAGTCCACGGCGCAGGCACCTATAATGAGCAATTTATCATCGTTCATTTCTAATCGAGTAGCATTCCCGTCTTTCGAGATTTTGAAATAACGTCAGGCCAAAGAGGCAAAATACCTTGGTGACAGCATCAAGTTTGTATAGCGATAGGACCCGAGGAAGACTTATAATAATCAACCTTTGCATTTTTGTTCGACAATTAAGCTTTATTCACACTTTTGTAAGTGTGAAACAGAAAATGTTCATATCATAGATTTTCTTCTTCAGTTCGTTATAGGAATGAAATAATCAAGGCCACTGTCCTAAATTTACACCGTGTCTTTTATTTGGTGATCGAATGGAGATGCAAAACCTGAGTTGAGAGGTAAGAGGTTTGAAGAAATCTTACCTGTTTCACAGTTTGTACCAGTGTACCCAGTTGCACACATGCACGTCAATTTAGACAAAACACATTTTCCTCCGTACCCGCACTCCGAGTCCATGGTGCAGTTACCTATAATGAGCCACATGTTATCGGTAAGACTTATCTGATGGATTATATTCAAGTTCTTTAAAAAACAATGAGAACGACGATAGAGTAAAAGAACACGATGATGTTGAGCATTTTAGAGATAACAGTTTTTATAACGACTATGATGAAGATGATTAAGATGGTGATGATGAATAATGATGGATATAATGTCTATATACCAAGTTAATTCTTCTGTTCTAATTTTCTAATCGAGTAGCATTCCCGTCTTTCGAGATATTGATATAACGTGAGGCCAAAGAGGCAAAATACCTTGGTGACAGCATCAAGTTTGTATAGCGATAGGACCCGAGGAAGATTTATAATGATCAACCTTTGCATTTCGTTCGACAATTAAGCTTTATTCATACTTTTGTAAGTGTGAAAGAGAAAATGTTCTAAAAATAGAGTTTCTTCTTCAATTCGTTATAGAAATGAAATAATCAAGGCCACTGTCCTAAATTTACACCGTGTCTTTTATTTGGTGATCGAATGGAGATGCAAAACCTGAGTTGAGAGGTAAGAGGTTTAAATAAATCTCACCTGTTTCACAGGTTGTACCAGTGTACCCAGTTGCACACACGCACATCAATGTAGTCAAATCACAAGTTCCTCCGTACATGCCGCAGTCCAAGTCCACGGTGCAGGCACCTATAATGAGCCATTTATTATCGTTAAGACTTATGTGATGGTTTATATTCAAGTTCTTTAAAAAACAATAAGGACGACGATAGAGTAAAAGAACACGATGATGTTGAGCATATTAGAGATAACAGTATTCATAACGACTATGATGATGATGATTAAGATGGTGATGATGAATAATGATGGATATATTGTCTATATACCAAGTTAAGTCTTCTGTTCTATTTTTGTAATCGAGTATCGACCTTTCTTTCGAGATATTGAAATAACGTGAGGCCAAAGAGGCAAAATACCTTGGTGACAGCATGAAGTTTGTATAGCGATAGGACCCGAGGAAGATTTATAATGATTAACCTTTGCATTTTTGTTCGACAATTAAGCTTTATTCATACTTTTGTAAGTGTGAAAGAGAAAATGTTCTAAAAATAGAGTTTCTTCTTCAATTCGTTATATGAATGCAAAAATCAAGGCCACTGTCCTAAATTTACATTGTGTCTTTTATTTGGTGATCGAATGGAGATGCAGAACATGAGTTGAGAGGTAAGAAGTTTGAATAAATCTTACCTGTTCCACAGGTTGTACCAGTGTACCCAGTTGCACACATGCACATCAATGTAGTCAAATCACAAGTTCCTCCGTACTCGCAATCCGAGTCCACGGCGCAGGCACCTATAATGAGCCATTTATTATCGTTAAGGCTCATGTGATGGATTGTTTTCAAGCTCTTTTAAAGACAATGAGGACGACGATATTGGTAAAAGAACACGATGATGTTGATAATTTTAGAGATAACATCATTCATAACGACTCTGATGATGATGATGAAGATGGTAATAATGAATAATGATGGATATAATGTCTATATACCAAGTTAAATCTTCTTTTCTAATTTTCTAATCGAGTAGCATTCCCGCCTTTCGAGATATTGAAATAACGTCAGGCCAAAGAGGCTAAATACCTTGGTGACAGCACAAAATTTGTATAGCATTAGGTCCCGAAAGAAGACTTAAAGTAATCAACCTTCTCGTTCTTGTAAGACACTGTAGCTTGAAACACACTTTTGCAATTGGGGAAAATAGAATCATTCTTAAATTAAATTTGTTCGTCGGTACGTTATAGGAATGAAATAATCCTGCCCTAAATTTACACCATGTCTTTTATTTGGTGATCAAATGGAGATGCAAAACCTGAGTTGAGAGGTAAGAGGTTTGAAGAAATCTTACCTGTTCCACAGGTTGTACCAGTGTACCCAGTTGCACACATGCACATCAATGTAGTCAAATCACAAGTTCCTCCGTACTCGCAATCCGAGTCCACGGCGCAGGCACCTATAATGAGCAATTTATCATCGTTCAGACTTACGTGATGATTATTCAAGTTTATTAAAGACAATGAGGACGACGATGAAGTAAAAGAACACGATGATGTTCATCCTTTTAGAGATAACAGTATTAATAACGACTATGATGATGATGATGAAGATGGTGATATTGAATAATGATGGATATAATGTCTATATACGAAGTTAAATCTTCTTTTATAATTTTCTAATCGAGTAGCATTCCCGTCTTTCGAGATTTTGAAATAACGTCAGGCCAAAGAGGCAAAATACCTTGGTGACAGCATCAAGTTTGTATAGCGATAGGACCCGAGGAAGACTTATAATAATCAACCTTTGCATTTTTGTTCGACAATTAAGCTTTATTCACACTTTTGTAAGTGTGAAACAGAAAATGTTCATATCATAGATTTTCTTCTTCAGTTCGTTATAGGAATGAAATAATCAAGGCCACTGTCCTAAATTTACACCGTGTCTTTTATTTGGTGATCGAATGGAGATGCAAAACCTGAGTTGAGAGGTAAGAGGTTTGAAGAAATCTTACCTGTTTCACAGTTTGTACCAGTGTACCCAGTTGCACACATGCACGTCAATTTAGACAAAACACATTTTCCTCCGTACCCGCACTCCGAGTCCATGGTGCAGTTACCTATAATGAGCCACATGTTATCGGTAAGACTTATCTGATGGATTATATTCAAGTTCTTTAAAAAACAATGAGAACGACGATAGAGTAAAAGAACACGATGATGTTGAGCATTTTAGAGATAACAGTTTTTATAACGACTATGATGAAGATGATTAAGATGGTGATGATGAATAATGATGGATATAATGTCTATATACCAAGTTAATTCTTCTGTTCTAATTTTCTAATCGAGTAGCATTCCCGTCTTTCGAGATATTGAAATAACGTGAGGCCAAAGAGGCAAAATACCTTGGTGACAGCATCAAGTTTGTATAGCGATAGGACCCGAGGAAGATTTATAATGATCAACCTTTGCATTTTGTTCGACAATTAAGCTTTATTCATACTTTTGTAAGTGTGAAAGAGAAAATGTTCTAAAAATAGAGTTTCTTCTTCAATTCGTTATAGAAATGAAATAATCAAGGCCACTGTCCTAAATTTACACTGTGTCTTTTATTTGGTGATCGAATGGAGATGCAAAACCTGAGTTGAGAGGTAAGAGGTTTAAATAAATCTTACCTGTTTCACAGGTTGTACCAGTGTACCCAGTTGCACACACGCACATCAATGTAGTCAAATCACAAGTTCCTCCGTACATGCCGCAGTCCAAGTCCACGGTGCAGGCACCTATAGTGAGCCATTTATTATCGTTAAGACTTATGTGATGGTTTATATTCAAGTTCTTTAAAAAACAATAAGGACGACGATAAAGTAAAAGAACACGATGATGTTGAGCATATTAAAGATAACAGTATTCATAACGACTATGATGATGATGATTAAGATGGTGATGATGAATAATGATGGATATATTGTCTATATACCAAGTTAAGTCTTCTGTTCTATTTTTGTAATCGAGTATCGACCTTTCTTTCGAGATATTGAAATAACGTGAGGCCAAAGAGGCAAAATACCTTGGTGACAGCATGAAGTTTGTATAGCGATAGGACCCGAGGAAGATTTATAATGATTAACCTTTGCATTTTTGTTCGACAATTAAGCTTTATTCATACTTTTGTAAGTGTGAAAGAGAAAATGTTCTAAAAATAGAGTTTCTTCTTCAATTCGTTATATGAATGCAAAAAACAAGGCCACTGTCCTAAATTTACATCGTGTCTTTTATTTGGTAATCGAATGGAGATGCAGAACATGAGTTGAGAGGTAAGAAGTTTGAATAAATCTTACCTGTTCCACAGGTTGTACCAGTGTACCCAGTTGCACACATGCACATCAATGTAGTCAAATCACAAGTTCCTCCGTACTCGCAATCCGAGTCCACGGCGCAGGCACCTATAATGAGCCATTTATTATCGTTAAGGCTCATGTGATGGATTGTTTTCAAGCTCTTTTAAAGACAATGAGGACGACGATATTGGTAAAAGAACACGATGATGTTGATAATTTTAGAGATAACATCATTCATAACGACTCTGATGATGATGATGAAGATGGTGATAATGAATAATGATGGATATAATGTCTATATACCAAGTTAAATCTTCTTTTCTAATTTTCTAATCGAGTAGCATTCCCGCCTTTCGAGATATTGAAATAACGTCAGGCCAAAGAGGCTAAATACCTTGGTGACAGCACGAAATTTGTATAGCATTAGGTCCCGAAAGAAGACTTAAAGTAATCAACCTTCTCGTTCCTGTAAAACACTGTAGCTTGAATCACACTTTTGCAATTGGGGAAAATAGAATCATTCTTAAAGTAAATTTGTTCGTCGGTACGTTATAGGAATGAAATAATCCTGCCCTAAATTTACACCATGTCTTTTATTTGGTGATCAAATGGAGATGCAAAACTTGAGTTGAGAGGTAAGAGGTTTGAAGAAATCTTACCTGTTCCACAGGTTGTACCAGTGTACCCAGTTGCACACATGCACATCAATGTAGTCAAATCACAAGTTCCTCCGTACTCGCAATCCGAGTCCACGGCGCAGGCACCTATAATGAGCAATTTATCATGGTTCAGACTTATATGATGATTATTCAAGTTTATTAAAGACAATGAGGACGACGATAAAGTAAAAGAACACGATGATGTTCATCCTTTTAGAGATAACAGTATTAATAACGACTATGATGATGTTGATGAAGATGGTGATATTGAATAATGATGGATATAATGTCTATATACGAAGTTAAATCTTCTTTTCTAATTTTCTAATCGAGTAGCATTCCCGTCTTTCGAGATTTTGAAATAACGTCAGGCCAAAGAGGCAAAATACCTTGGTGACAGCATCAAGTTTGTATAGCGATAGGACCCGAGGAAGACTTATAATAATCAACCTTTGCATTTGTGTTCGACGATTAAGCTTTATTCACACTTTTGTAAGTGTGAAACAGAAAATGTTCATATCATAGAGTTTCTTCTTCAGTTCGTTATAGGAATGAAATAATCAAGGCCACTGTCCTAAATTTACACCGTGTCTTTTATTTGGTGATCGAATGGAGATGCAAAACCTGAGTTGAGAGGTAAGAGGTTTGAAGAAATCTTACCTGTTTCACAGTTAGTACCAGTGTACCCGGTTGCACACATGCACGTCAATTTAGACAAAATACATTTTCCTCGGTACCCGCACTCCGAGTCCATGGTGCAGTTACCTATAATGAGCCACATATTATCGGTAAGACTTATCTGATGGATTATATTTAAGTTCTTTAAAAAACAATGAGAACGACGATAGAGTAAAAGAACACGATGATGTTGAGCATTTTAGAGATAACAGTTTTTATAACGACTATGATGAAGATGATTAAGATGGTGATGATGAATAATGATGGATATAATGTCTATATACCAAGTTAATTCTTCTGTTCTAATTTTCTAATCGAGTAGCATTCCCGTCTTTCGAGATATTGAAATAACGTGAGGCCAAAGAGGCAAAATACCTTGGTGACAGCATCAAGTTTGTATAGCGATAGGACCCGAGGAAGATTTATAATGATCAACCTTTGCATTTTTGTTCGACAATTAAGTTTTATTCATACTTTTGTAAGTGTGAAAGAGAAAATGTTCTAAAAATAGAGTTTCTTCTTCAATTCGTTATAGGAATGAAATAATCAAGGCCACTGTCCTAAATTTACACCGTGTCTTTTATTTGGTGATCGAATGGAGATGCAAAACCTGAGTTGAGAGGTAAGAGGTTTAAATAAATCTTACCTGTTTCACAGGTTGTACCAGTGTACCCAGTTGCACACACGCACATCAATGTAGTCAAATCACAAGTTCCTCCGTACATGCCGCAGTCCAAGTCCACGGTGCAGGCACCTATAGTGAGCCATTTATTATCGTTAAGACTTATGTGATGGTTTATATTCAAGTTCTTTAAAAAACAATAAGGACGACGATAGAGTAAAAGAACACGATGATGTTGAGCATATTAAAGATAACAGTATTCATAACGACTATGATGATGATGATTAAGATGGTGATGATGAATAATGATGGATATATTGTCTATATACCAAGTTAAGTCTTCTGTTCTATTTTTGTAATCGAGTATCGACCTTTCTTTCGAGATATTGAAATAACGTGAGGCCAAAGAGGCAAAATACCTTGGTGACAGCATGAAGTTTGTATAGCGATAGGACCCGAGGAAGATTTATAATGATTAACCTTTGCATTTTTGTTCGACAATTAAGCTTTATTCATACTTTTGTAAGTGTGAAAGAGAAAATGTTCTAAAAATAGAGTTTCTTCTTCAATTCGTTATATGAATGCAAAAAACAAGGCCACTGTCCTAAATTTACATCGTGTCTTTTATTTGGTAATCGAATGGAGATGCAGAACATGAGTTGAGAGGTAAGAAGTTTGAATAAATCTTACCTGTTCCACAGGTTGTACCAGTGTACCCAGTTGCACACATGCACATCAATGTAGTCAAATCACAAGTTCCTCCGTACTCGCAATCCGAGTCCACGGCGCAGGCACCTATAATGAGCCATTTATTATCGTTAAGGCTCATGTGATGGATTGTTTTCAAGCTCTTTTAAAGACAATGAGGACGACGATATTGGTAAAAGAACACGATGATGTTGATAATTTTAGAGATAACATCATTCATAACGACTCTGATGATGATGATGAAGATGGTGATAATGAATAATGATGGATATAATGTCTATATACCAAGTTAAATCTTCTTTTCTAATTTTCTAATCGAGTAGCATTCCCGCCTTTCGAGATATTGAAATAACGTCAGGCCAAAGAGGCTAAATACCTTGGTGACAGCACGAAATTTGTATAGCATTAGGTCCCGAAAGAAGACTTAAAGTAATCAACCTTCTCGTTCCTGTAAAACACTGTAGCTTGAATCACACTTTTGCAATTGGGGAAAATAGAATCATTCTTAAAGTAAATTTGTTCGTCGGTACGTTATAGGAATGAAATAATCCTGCCCTAAATTTACACCATGTCTTTTATTTGGTGATCAAATGGAGATGCAAAACTTGAGTTGAGAGGTAAGAGGTTTGAAGAAATCTTACCTGTTCCACAGGTTGTACCAGTGTACCCAGTTGCACACATGCACATCAATGTAGTCAAATCACAAGTTCCTCCGTACTCGCAATCCGAGTCCACGGCGCAGGCACCTATAATGAGCAATTTATCATGGTTCAGACTTATATGATGATTATTCAAGTTTATTAAAGACAATGAGGACGACGATAAAGTAAAAGAACACGATGATGTTCATCCTTTTAGAGATAACAGTATTAATAACGACTATGATGATGTTGATGAAGATGGTGATATTGAATAATGATGGATATAATGTCTATATACGAAGTTAAATCTTCTTTTCTAATTTTCTAATCGAGTAGCATTCCCGTCTTTCGAGATTTTGAAATAACGTCAGGCCAAAGAGGCAAAATACCTTGGTGACAGCATCAAGTTTGTATAGCGATAGGACCCGAGGAAGACTTATAATAATCAACCTTTGCATTTGTGTTCGACGATTAAGCTTTATTCACACTTTTGTAAGTGTGAAACAGAAAATGTTCATATCATAGAGTTTCTTCTTCAGTTCGTTATAGGAATGAAATAATCAAGGCCACTGTCCTAAATTTACACCGTGTCTTTTATTTGGTGATCGAATGGAGATGCAAAACCTGAGTTGAGAGGTAAGAGGTTTGAAGAAATCTTACCTGTTTCACAGTTAGTACCAGTGTACCCGGTTGCACACATGCACGTCAATTTAGACAAAATACATTTTCCTCGGTACCCGCACTCCGAGTCCATGGTGCAGTTACCTATAATGAGCCACATATTATCGGTAAGACTTATCTGATGGATTATATTTAAGTTCTTTAAAAAACAATGAGAACGACGATAGAGTAAAAGAACACGATGATGTTGAGCATTTTAGAGATAACAGTTTTTATAACGACTATGATGAAGATGATTAAGATGGTGATGATGAATAATGATGGATATAATGTCTATATACCAAGTTAATTCTTCTGTTCTAATTTTCTAATCGAGTAGCATTCCCGTCTTTCGAGATATTGAAATAACGTGAGGCCAAAGAGGCAAAATACCTTGGTGACAGCATCAAGTTTGTATAGCGATAGGACCCGAGGAAGATTTATAATGATCAACCTTTGCATTTTTGTTCGACAATTAAGTTTTATTCATACTTTTGTAAGTGTGAAAGAGAAAATGTTCTAAAAATAGAGTTTCTTCTTCAATTCGTTATAGGAATGAAATAATCAAGGCCACTGTCCTAAATTTACACCGTGTCTTTTATTTGGTGATCGAATGGAGATGCAAAACCTGAGTTGAGAGGTAAGAGGTTTGAATAAATCTTACCTGTTTCACAGGTTGTACCAGTGTACCCAGTTGCACACACGCACATCAATGTAGTCAAATCACAAGTTCCTCCGTACATGCCACAGTTCAAGTCCACGGTGCAGGTACCTATAATGAGCCATTTATTATCGTTAAGACTTATGTGATGGTTTATATTCAAGTTCTTTAAAAAACAATAAGGACGACGATAGAGTAAAAGAACACGATGATGTTCAGCATATTAGAGATAACAGTATTTATAACCACTATGATGATGATGATTAAGATGGTGATGATGAATAATGATGGATATATTGTCTATATACCAAGTTAAGTCTTCTGTTCTATTTTTGTAATCGAGTATCGACCTTTCTTTCGAGATATTGAAATAACATGAGGCCAAAGAGGCAAAATACCTTGGTGACAGCATGAAGTTTGTATAGCGATAGGACCCGAGGAAGATTTATAATGATTAACCTTTGCATTTTTGTTCGACAATTAAGCTTTATTCATACTTTTGTAAGTGTGAGAGAGAAAATGTTCTAAAAATAGGGTTTCTTCTTCAGTTCGTTACAGGAATGCAAAAATCAAGGCCACTGTCCTAAATTTACACCGTGTCTTTTATTTGGTGATCGAATGGAGATGCAGAACATGAGTTGAGAGGTAAGAGGTTTGAATAAATCTTACCTGTTCCACAGGTTGTACCAGTGTACCCAGTTGCACACATGCACATCAATGTAGTCAAATCACAAGTTCCTCCGTACTCGCAATCCGAGTCCACGGCGCAGGCACCTATAATGAGCCATTTATTATCGTTAAAACTTATGCGATGGTTTATATTTAAGTTCTTTAAAAAACAATGAGGACGACAATAGAGTAAAAGAACACGATGATGTTGATCACTTTTAGAGAAAACAGTATTTATAATGACTATGATGATGATGATGAAGATGGTGATAATGACTATGATGATGATGATGATGATAAAGATGGTGATAATAAATAATGATGGATATAATGTCTGTATACCAAGTTAAATCTTCTGTTCTAATTTCATGATCGAGTAGCATTCCCGTCTTTCGAGATATTGAAATGACGTCAGGCCAAAGAGGCAAAATACCTTGGTGACAGCATGAAGTTTGTATAGCAATAGGACCCGAGGAAGGCTTATAATAATCAACCTTTGAATTTTTGTTCGACAATTAATTTTTATTCACACTTTTGTAAGTGTGAAAGAGAAAATGTTCTAAAACAAGAGTTTCTTCTTCAGTTCGTTATATATATAAAATAATCAAGGCCAATGCCCTAAATTTACACCGTGTCTTTTATGTGGTGATCAAATGGAGATGCAAAACCTGAAATGAGAGGTAAGAGGTTTAAAAAAATCTTACCTGTTCCACAAGTTGTACCAGTGTACCCAGTTGCACACATGCACATCAATGTAGTCAAATCACAAGTTCCTCCGTACTCGCAATCCGAGTCCACGGCGCAGGCACCTATAATGAGCCATTTATTATCGTTAAGACTTATGTAATGGTTTATATTCAAGTTCTTTTGAAGACAATGAGGACGACGATGAAGTAAAATAACACGATGATGTTGATTTTTTTTTAGAGATAACAGTATTTATAACGATGTTGATGATGAATAATGATGGATATAATATCTATATACCAAGTTTAATCTTCTCTTCTAATTTTCTAATCGAGTAGCATTCCCGTCTTTTGAGATTTTGAAATAACGTCAGGCCAAAGAGGCAAAATACCTTAACGACAGCACGTTCGTCGGTTCGTTTTAGGAATAAAATAATCAAGGCCACTGTCCTAAATTTACACCGTGTCTTTTATTTGGTGATCAAATGGAGATGCAAAACCTGAGTTGAGAGGAAAGAAGTTTGAAGAAATATTACCTGTTCCACAGGTTGTACCAGTGTACCCAGTTGCACACATGCACATCAATGTAGTCAAATCACAAGTTCCTCCGTACTCGCAATCCGAGTCCACGGCGCAGGCACCTATAATGAGCCATTTATTATCGTTAAGACTCATGTAATGGTTTATATTCAAGTTCTTTTGAAGACAATGAGGACGACGATGAAGTAAAATAACACGATGATGTTGATTTTTTTTTAGAGATAACAGTATTTATAACGATGTTGATGATGCAGATGGGGATGATGAATAATGATGGATATAATATCTATATACCAAGTTTAATCTCTTCTCATTTTCTAATCCAGTAGCATTCCCGTCTTTTGAGATATTGAAATAACGTCAGGCCAAAGAGGCAAAATACCTTAACGACAGCACGTTCGTCGGTTCGTTTTAATAATAAAATAATCAAGGCCAATGCCCTAAATTTACACCGTGTCTTTTATGTGGTGATCAAATGGAGATGCAAAACCTGAGTTGAGAGGTAAGAGGTTTGAAGAAATATTACCTGTTCCACAGGTTGTACCAGTGTACCCAGTTGCACACATGCACATCAATGTAGTCAAATCACAAGTTCCTCCGTACTCGCAATCCGAGTCCACGGCGCAGGCACCTATAATGAGCCATTTATTATCGTTAAGACTTATGTAATGGTTTATATTCAAGTTCTTTTGAAGACAATGAGGACGACGATGAAGTAAAAGAACACGATGATGTTGATCTTTTTAGAGATAACAGTATTTATAAAGACTATGATGTTGATGATGAAGATGGTGATAATAAATAATGATGGATATAATATCTATATACCACGTTAAATCTTCTGTTCTAATTTCATGATCGAGTAGCATTCCCGTCTTTCGAGATATTGAATTAACGTCAGGCCAAAGAGGCAAAATACCTTAACGACAGCACGTTTGTCGGTTTGTTTTAGGAATAAAATAATCAAGGCCAATGCCCTAAATTTACACAGTGTCTTTTATGTGGTGATCAAATGGAGATGCAAAACCTGAGTTGAGAGGAAAGCGGTTTGAAGAAATATTACCTGTTCCACAGGTTGTACCAGTGTACCCAGTTGCACACATGCACATCAATGTAGTCAAATCACAAGTTCCTCCGTACTCGCAATCCAAGTCCACGGCGCAGGTACCTATAATGAGCCATTTATCATCGTTAAGACTTATGTGATGGTTTATATTCAAGTTCTTTTGAAGACAATGAGGACGACGATGAAGTAAAAGAACACGATGATGTTGAAATTTTTAGAGATAACAGTATTTATAAAGACTATGATGTTGATGATGAAGATGGTGATAATAAATAATGATGGATATAATATCTACATACCACGTTAAATCTTCTGTTCTAATTTCATGATCGAGTAGCATTCCCGTCTTTCAAAATATTGAAATGACGTCAGGCCAAAGAGGCAAAATACCTTGGTGACAGCATGAAGTTTGTAAAGCGATAGGACCCGAGGAAGGCTTATAATAATCAACCTTTAAATTTTTGTTCGACAATTAATTTTTATTCACACTTTTGTAAGTGTGAAAGAGAAAATGTCCTAAAAAAAGAGTTTCTTCTTCAGTTCGTTATAGAAATGAAATAATCAAGGCCAATGCCCTAAATTTACATTGTGTCTTTTATTTGGTCATCGAAAGGAGATGCAAAACCTAAGTTGAGAGGTAAGAGGTTTGAATAAATCTTACGTGTTCCACAGGTTGTACCAGTGTACCCAGTTGCACACATGCACATCAATGTAGTCATATCACAAGTTCCTCCGTACTCGCAATCCGAGTCCACGGCGCAGGCACCTATAATAAGCCATATACTATCGTGAAGACTTATGTGATGGTTTATATTCAAGTTCTTTAAAAAACAATGAGGACAACGATAGAGTAAAAGAACACGATGATGTTGAGCATTTTAGAGATAACAGTATTTTTAAAGACTATGAGGATGATGATTAAGATGGTGATAATGAATAATGATAGATAAAATGTTTATATACCAAGTTAAATCTTCTGTTTTAATTTTCTAATCGAGTAGCATTCCCGTCTTTTGAGATATTGAAATAACGTCAGGCCAAAGAGGCAAAATACCTTGGTGACAGCATGAAGTTTGTATACCAATAGGAACCGAGGAAGACTTATAATAATCAACCTTTGAATTTTTGTTCGACAATCAATTTGTATTCACACTTTTGTAAGTGTGAAAGATAAAATATTCTAAAAATAGAGTTTCTTCTTCAGTTCGTTATAGAAATGAAATGATTAAGGCCAATGCCCTAAATTTACACCGTATCTTTTATTTGGTGATCGAATTGAGATGCAAAACCTGAGTTGAGAGGTAAGAGGTTTGAATAAATCTTACCTATTTCACAGTTTGTACCAGTGTACCCAGTTGCACACATGCACATCAATCTAGACAAAACACATTTTCCGCTGTACCCGCACTCCGAGTCACTGAAGCAGGCACCTATAATGAGCCATTTATTATCGTTAAGACTTATTTAATGGTTTATATTCATATAATGATGGATATAATGTTTATATACCAAGTTGATTCTTCTGTTCTAATTTTCTAATCGAGTAGCATTACCGTCTTTCGAGATATTGAAATAACGTCAGGCCAAAGAGGCAAAATACATTGGTGACAGCATGAAGTTTGTATAGCGATAGGACCCGAGGAAGATTTATAATGATCAACCTTTGCATTTTTGAATTTCTCTCTGACTTTGATATCATGAATAGAAAATGTGCATTATGCACTGCATAATGTAATCAAACTATTCGGATGCAAATGATACAAAGATAATAAGATTAAAAACGCACGATTGTCGCCTCATCTGTCATACCTGGAACACCTGCGAATGATATGAAATGAGATAAAATGAGAAAAAATTGTAATAATTAAGTTAATTAAATTGAGAATAACTTGAGAGAGAGAGAGAGAGAGAGAGAGATTAAGGAGAAAGAAACATACAAGAGGAGACAAGGGGGAAATGATTAAAGGAGTAAAGTGTACATAATCTGATAAAGACAAATAATATGCTATTTAAAGGCAGGGCATCAACTAATGGCTGTTTTTATTCTGGTAGGGAAAACCTTTAAACAAATTGTAATGGGCATTCCCCTTGACGTAGTGATGTATCCACATTCTTCCCTTTCTTCTAAAGTATGCTCTACCCAAGAACACATTCACCACACACACTTACACGAACACAAACATTCTATCATGTCGACTTTACTACCTTTCATCCTCTTTTTAATCCCGTCTTTCTCTCTACATCCCTCCCCTCTTTCCATTTCATTTTCTATGTTTCTCTCTCCCTCTCTCTCTCTCTTTGTCTCTCTAATTTGAATATAATATTCATCTCTCCACCACTTTGACGGTGTCTATAATTGGAGCAAGGTCTAAAAGTGTTTAGTCCAGTTAGATCGCATCGACTTTCATTTTTTTTAGAGTGGATTAGGTGTTATCATTTTATGCATGTGGTTATTAGACGACAGCTTCTGGTCACCCTAAAACCCCACATTATCAGACATATTCTACCTTTAATGTTAGATGCAGTGTTTTTAAAGATTAGATGGGTTGAACAAATATATTTCCATTTACTTCTCATTCAGACACTATTTATTTGTTTGTTTGTTTTATTTATTCACCATGTAAAATAATTGTTACCAGATAATAAAATTCAGTGGGTTACTTTGAGATATAATACATAGTAGGTACAGTGCATGAATACAAAAATGTTTGAAGCGCAACGTCCCTAAGATAACATAGTTGATGATTATTAGGTTTAGATAGAACATGGCTTAAAGGTAATACAAAATTTTGAAAATTGGATGGATAGTGATTCTTTACAATTTTGACATATTTGGATGCCCCTGTGGATGTATTTTAAGCACTAGAAATGTTAGCCCCTAAAACAATTCTGCTTTCGAAAAAATTGAATATAACAATTTTACTGGTGCTCCCGGTACATTTTGATACATTTCAAATAGCGCCTACGGCCGTACAATGGTAGCTGCGATCATAACAATCTCAGAATATGTAGTTGTGATATATAATTTCCAAACCAGAATAGCTAATCGGTCAATTTTAGTCAAGAAACATTGTTTTATAGCTTATTTAATATTATGACCTTGAGAGGGAACTTTACCACATAAAGAGTTTATTATTCACAATTTCATAACTTTAGATTATATTTTCTACCGCGACAACGATCACTGAATATTGAAGGATCGCATATGCTTCCAATATGTTCATTTGAACCAAGTTCATTACCCTATACCAGAAACTTTGTATTACCTTTAAAATAAGACATTATGTCATTACAAAAATAAAAAACAACAACAACATAAATGCTTAAATCAAAATCATGGCCCTTAACGTGTTTGAATAACAAGCAAAAACAATATAATACACATCATTACCTCTTCTGGACGAAGAAAGCACTATAAAAAATGTACCTCTAAATCAATACCATAACCTCTCAAACGATTTTTGTTGTATTTTTTTATTTCGTATGCCAAATAGCTATGTTTGGTTACTACTGGTATTCTTAAAAATATCTCAAAGACATGATGCAATAATTGTCTCCAATGGCTTTAACCATCTTTTTTGTTTACCTACTTACATTCATACTCCACGTGGAGGTAACTGTACTCCCCTGCGCATGGTCCACCCACACTGCATTCGTCAGCGATGGTACATGGATTACGAGTCTCGCAGGTATGAGCATACTCTGCCGTCCTGCTAGTGTAAGCACACTGGCTCGCCAGGGAGAGGTCAAAAGCATCGCAAGAAGGAACAGTCACACATACTCCATTGGTGACTCTGATCACTGATTCTTGGTCACACTCCATCGTGACCCTTATACGGAAATCTATTTGACACTGTGCAACTGTAGACAAGAATACAAACATGCATTACAAACAAAAAAGAAAATAAGCAAACAATATGTTTGATAATAACTGGGGATATTCGTTTAAAAATAGTTTAACATTACAACTCAGCAATTGCGGCTGTTAGTTTGTTAGTTTGACCATTTTAGTATAAGAGGTTGGCCATCAAGACCTGGTAAACTAACAACGGAAATGTCTCCTGCACCGGCTGTGTAGTTAAGGTGATTTTACCAAAGATATATTCATGTTTTTGTCATGGCACGCAGGTTATTCTTCATTTTCTTGTTACTTACCCTCTAACATGCAAAAATTCTTCAAAAAGTTCTCAAACCCAAGGATATTTATGGTCTTCATTGAAGGTGTCACTGCGTATGTCGTTTGTGATGACACTAACACTATGTACAGTGCTTTATATGGTCCAATTGAAATATGGTTCTAATATTTATCACATTTTTAGCAGTTCTGTAGACAGTTTCAAATCATTAGTGCAGGGGCAGTGTGGCGTATTTTAGAGTGTTGGGAAGGGCGGGGGGGGGGCACCATCGAAAGAAAACAATTCTGGAAAAAGAGGCACTTAAAAAGGACAGTCTCAAAGGAAAAACAATTATTATTTTGGACCATGTACAAACATCTATGTTGTAATTAATACATCATCAGTAATTATCTGTATTTCGTCCAAGAAACTGCTTCAGCACCATACTTTATGGCGGCGCGAGCAACAAAAAAAGAGACACATTTTTGAGGTGACATAACGACCGATTTTGTTGTCATTAGACGATCCCAGTGAAGGCAGGGGCGTCGCTAGACCCTTGTCAGTGGGGGGGGGGGGGGGGGAGGGGCTGTAGAGGCCAACGATTAGCGACAAAACTAGCCATCAATTACCGACAAAATATAATGTCCCAATACAGGCGCGCCGGAAGCAGTTTGGGATTGGGAGGGGGGGGGGGGGGCAAACATTCCAGGGGGCTCACCTTCCAGGGGCAGTGACCTAATGAGAAAAAAAACGTTCGGAAGGGGGGGGGCAGACGGAAATTCTGCATCACCACCTGTCTTACACGTTACATTCAGGTAGAGCGTAATTTTGGCGTGGGGTCCAGGGCATGAGCCTTGGCAGGGGGTCAAGGGGCTAAGCCCCTGGAAGCTCGGGGGTTTTAGGTATATTTTTACGGTCAGATGAGCACCCAGGGGCCGCCTTAGGGCCCTTGGTGGGGTCCAGGGGGGTTAACCCCAGGAAGCTGTTTTTTTAAGGTATTTAATTACGGTCAGATGAGCATCCAGGGGACCGCCTAAGGGCCCTTGGTGGGGTCCGGGGGTGGAGCCCCCGTAAACTCTGGGATTTTAGGCATTTAATTACGGTCAAATGAGCATTTTTAATACTTTATTTGTGACATTGGCAGGTCACTTATGTTTTCTCTCTGTCTTTCTTTCTATTTCTCTTTAACATACTTTTTCATAAAATGAGCTGGGGGGGGGGGGGGGGGGGGGAAGGGGGTCGAGCCCAACCACTTTGCAGACCATGATATAAAGGCTTCTAAATAAGCGTATTTTTCGCTCGACTGTTATTTGGGAATTTCTTATTTTCCAACAAACGCATAAAAAGGTATGACTAACAAAAAGATGGAGAAAAAATACCGGAAAATCATGTCATAACAGCAACATTTGTAAATCACTGGTATTGAATAAGAGATTGACGTTTCATTGAATCATTATAGAAAGACGACAATTGCTGTACCGGTCTTGACACCCCCCTTTAAAGACGCCCCTGGATGAGGGTTAAGCATACTTAATAACAGTTATAAAAGGCGTGATGGTGCCCATTGTTCTATTTCTAAATATTTATTATAAATACATATAATTTACATTCCATGAAAAGTTGTTGCACGCTCCCTAGCCATCATCCATATTTGTATTTTACCAGTATTTTGTTTTCTTAAGAAGAGTAATATGATAACGATCGGTATTTATATTTCTCATGTGTGCATGATACTGTTCTAAGTTTAGGCAGAGTAATGTTATCAAAAAGTTAATTTCCACTTCGGCTAACATTGTCAGTTGGCTGTTTTGCCTCCCCCCCCCCCCCCCCCCCCGCGTAGATGAAAAGTTATTCAAAAAGCCTGTGTGTAGAAGTTCCTGGAAAGAGGATAAATAGCGAAGTTGATGTAGGACATCCTTCTTGGTTATCATGCCAAACAACATTATTTTACTTCGAAACTCATGACAATGCTTATACGGGGATCTCAAGGGGAAAACCCCAAATTATTGCCGCAGAATTTCGTGACACGTTCACACTACATTCTCCAAATTGCGACTTGTACTACTCGCTTATACCCTGCCTGTCACACCAGTGAGATTCATACCAGACAGGTAAACAAATTACACTAACCATACAGCTCGATCACACCAACAAACCAGATCCACAACTTCTCCAATCTACATGAAATGACAACCTAAGAGTCGTTGTCCTCCCTTCAACATTAGATGACCTTTCGATTTGCACGTCGACATAGTGGACTGCTACGTATGACGTCCTTTTCAGGCACTGACAGTGCCTTATTAGGGAGGGGGTGGGGAGGTAGAGAGCACTAAATTGTTTTGGTCTATTTTGACCCCGGAAAATTTAAAATCGCGTTGATATTTAGCTCAGTGGCATTGTGACTTTAACAAAAAATACTAAACACCTCCCTCCCCCCCCCCCCCCCCTTCAGCAAAAAACGAAAAGGTAAATTTCTGGTCACAATATTTTTTTAGATTGGGCAAGGCCCAATCGGTCCCCTGGATCCGCGCCTGCCTCCGGGAGTTATCTTTAAATATCAACGAGACAAATTTCCCACATTTTGATAAAACATATGCAGAAATCTATTTGTTTAATATATTTAATTTAAAAAATAATTGACGGACTACCTTTATCTAGAGAGAGAGTTTAACGTTTCTCGGAGATAGTATTGACGAAAACCTAACTTGGAAAGAATAAATAACAAAATATCAATACAACCGTCCTACTTTAGGGACAGAAAGGGTAAATGGAAGGGAATAGGATAGACAAGGGAGAAGGAGAATGAGAAAAGTGAAATAACAAGAAGGAGGAAGGGGAAGAGAGAGAAAAAAGGAGGGAGCGAGCAAGAGGAGAGAAGAAAGAGAACACGATTTACAAGGAAGAAGAAGGAGAACAAATGGAAGAAAAGGAAGGAGGAGGGGGAGCTAACGAAAGAGAGATAGAGATAGATAGAGAGATAGAGAGAGAAAGAGAGAGAGAGAGAGAGAGAAAGAGAGAGAGGGAGAGAGAGAGAGAGAGAGAGAGAGAGAAAGAGAGAGAGGGAGAGAGAGAGAGAGAGAGAGAGAGAGAGATGGCCCTATATAGGTTCCTAAGAGTTCAAGTTAGTACATTTCAACAAAAGGGTAATACGCAGTTGTAACAATGAAGCAACGCCAGGCTTATCACGAGAAGTTTATTGAAATTTACAAAGAGAGAACCCGTTGAAGGTATCTGCATGGTTTCTTATGAGATATACATCTGAATACATTCTTTCGGGTTGCTAAGTCCCGTATTCACAAATAACCACAAATAGTTAACCAAATTATACTCTTTATGCTTCTAGTAAGCATTTCGGTAATCCTCCACACATATCATATTGCAATATGATTTCGGCAAATTCTGCAAATAAAAGACTAATCAACTTCTTATGTTGCATAAGAAAGCAATACGTATATGCATGGGCTCACATTATAGCGCATCCGGACACCTACCCCCTGGACATCCACCCCCGGATAACCACCCCCATCAACTACCCCCTTGGACAAACAACATCTAGGACGACTACCCCCAGGGACAACTACCCCCAGACAACTACCCCCTAGGACAACTACCCCCGGACAACTACCCCCCATAAAAAAACCCTAGGACAACTACCCCAGGACAACAACCACGGACAACTACCCCCTATGATAATGTGGTAGTTGTCCGGGATGTAGTTGTCCTATGGGGGTAGTTGTCCTAGGGGGTAGTTGACTGGGGGTGGTTATCTGGGTTGGATGTCCATGGGGTACATGCAGGTGTCCTAGAACCACACTACAGTGTGAGTCAAAAAAAAAGTTTACACCTAGAAAATTGCAAATTATTTAAAAAATCATCTATGAACAGTAAATTATTATATATTTTATGAAAGAGTGTTTTATTCCAAATCATTTGGTATAATTTTTGTGTGGTATGTATTCACGCTTGGATGAACACGAGGCATTGTTTGCGAAAGTGCAAAAATCGATTTATGCCAAAGTTGCTTGTGTGATGTTTGAATAAAACAATTGGGATTTGGGTATTAATTCGGTCTTTGCAGATCCAAATAACATCCCTAACAAAATCAATCATGCCACACATATCAAATATCAACGTACATTTGTGCGTGTGTGCATGTGTGTGTGTGTGTGTGTGTGTGTGTGAATTTGCTTCTGCAAAAAGCATATCCAATGCATTTCATTTGATACATTTAATTCATTCTCTCACTCCGCTAATCCCAACATGATACATGCTGTAGGCATCACTTTGGCGCAAGTCGATTTTTGCACTCTCGCAAACAATGCCTCATGTTCATCCAAGCGTGAGCACATACCACACAAATACGATACCAAATGATTTAAGATAAAACACCCTTTCATAAGATGTATAATACTTTGCTGCTCATAGATGATTTTTTAAAAAAATAGCAATTTTCTATCACACGGTATAGAGCAAACCCATTGTTCCATGGTTAATAGACATTTAATTTATTCATCTCGAGCACTAATAAATAATCACAAAACCCAATTAGCACACAGGTCTATCAGACGTGCCGGTGTGACCGCGCCGTTTGTCCTACCAGTTTCGTTTGTCCGTCGGACATAATATGCGGGTTTTCTGCTCGCACGGATCGTCCGAGGGACGATCCGTGCGGTTTGCTATCCGCACATTTTGTCCCCCCATTATTTTA